AATGGCCTTTCCCCACCTATCCCACCCTGCAACCTTCAACCTTTTAAGAAATGGTCAGTTTCCCCACTGCACATGGATGGCCCGCATTTTTTGTTTTTTTGTTGCATGTGTGTCCCACAAAGAGGATGGGCCATTTTCCCGTGGCCGACCAGAGGTTTACCTGAGAAGCACAACTCAAGAACACCTTTGTGGACTTTTTTCAACACAGGGGAATCCCCAAAAGGGTGGGTCTCCTGTGGGTCTCCCTTTCAGTCCCCAAAAAATGGGACCAGCCGCAGGCGCCATCAGCTTCCAGTGCCGCTCGGATGACGACCGCGTCCTGAACTACTTGAAGCCGCTGTCCCACGACGACACCTTCCAAGCCCGGAGCCCCGGTCGGCTTTTCCACCCGCTCCCTAGATGGCTCTTCCTTTTTGAGAGAGGAGCCAACCCCTTTTTGGGGTTGGTTTGAGGGGAAACGAAAGGTACATCCACTTCAGGGTTCCCCCAAAGGCGGGTTTCTCAAAATGCTCCTAAAGTGGCAACGGTTTCCTTTTGTTTTCCTCTGCTAGCCAAATAGGGTCCACCATTTGGAGAACCTCGCATATTTCCCCTTTTCGTGGTTTTGAACCTCACCTCTTGGGCCAAGTCAAGGTTAGTTTCTTATGGGCTGTAGGTTCTCGTTAATAATTCCAGGGATTGGGGAAGAAGAATGTGATCATAATTTCTGGAGCTATTCTATCATTAACAATCCTATCTCTAAGTCCTGTAAGTTAATGAATCTTTCCCTGAATGCATTATTCTTTCCTTGTCATTCATCTTTCTTTGTCATTATCTACCTTCAAGATCCAGAGACAGATGACAACTAAGGAATCCCAAGGATATGAAAGAATAATTGGTTGGAGGTAGAGATCCAACATTAGCAATTAAAAGGATTCAAGTTGTTAGCGAAATCCTTGTAACTCATGTTTAGGTTGGTTTAGTTGTACGTTGTACCCTCCCACTTTTGCGTCCCTTTTCAACTTGCCGTTGGGTCAGCTCCGGCCGTTTGCGTCCGTTTTGAGCCCCCGGGCCCCGGGCCCCATATCTACTTCGACCGAGCGCAGGCGGTGACCTGCGAGCGCGCCTTCCTGGCAGCGCTGGACGGGAACTGCAAGACGCCCATCGCAGGCCGGGGATTTTTTTTGGCGCTCGAAGCCGCCAACTTTTCCTTCGGCTCAAGAGCTGAAATTCAGTTCGATCGGTCTCTTGATCTTCTAAAAGGAACACCTATTCCATACTTGCATAACTACCCTCCCACCAGCTATTTTTGGAACCCACCAGAAGTCATGTTGTATATTTGGTCCTTTCAGGCTCTTTCGGCTTGCTTTGCCCAAAATGGACCGATATGTCAAACCACTTCTGCAGATTGACCCTGAATCGATCAAGTCTGCCAAAAGGTAAGTCATGCGGGTGCTTCCCAACATCGGGGACCCCTTTGTTTAAATAATAATGATGGTCTTCAACGGACGCCATGAGGGACACCACGTGGCCTATTTTCAGGTGGTTCCTTTCCAGGTTGGAAGGCTTGAGCATTATGAGTATTGTTGTTATTCCTCCAATATTGTTGTGATTATTGTTAGCACTATTATACTATGATTGTTAATATTCTTTATCATCATTGTCATTTGTTGTTATTGTTGTCGTTCATAGATATTGTTGTCATTAGTAATCATCATGCTGTTGACTCTTGCCACACCCTATGCATATTGGCACAAACCTACCATCTGGTGCCTGGCGTGGATTGGGTCCATCCATATTTTTGAGGCCAGGTCTTGGGGTGGGATGAAATCCTGCATCACCCAAGAAACCATGGGAATGAAGCCATTGTTCGTTGGTATTTACAGGGGAATGATCAGGGGTTCGAAAGTGTGGTGCGAGAAGCGGATTTCGTCCATCCACAGGTCCCCATGTTGCTCGGCACGATCCCGTCCGGTGCCGAACGCTAGATCTAGATCCACCTGTGATCTATGCAAGAGCAAAGCGCCAAAAAGATCCACAGGTCCCCTTCGACGCATGCCCCGCGTCGCCGAAAGCCCGCAACCCGCAGGCCAGGCCAAGGTGGTGGACGGCGAGCTGCACCTCCAGGGCCTCGTGGCCTCGCCCGACGGCCAGGAGCGACGGTGAAGCGGGCGGTGGGGGGGGGGGCGCTTTGGGGCGCTTTGGGGCATAATTTCATCCTCGGATCAGTTTAGTCCTGCAGAGTCAGAATTTCCGAATTCTGGGCGAAGTCCAGGGGTTTGAATCCCCTGCCGCATAGGTGTGTGTCAAAATACGGATTTGAACCACTCTTCCTTTTGGTTTCCCTTTAATCCAACCTAAACACGGTACATACACACACACACACTCCTGTTGGTGTGAATTTTGATTAGGGGACCTTTCATGGACAGCATGGTGGCGATTTTGGGCGGGAGCCTTGGCGTTTCGGTCAGGAGATCTTCCGTGTGGAGAGGAAGGGCGCCGTGCCGCTCGGCGAGCGATGCCGAGTTGCACCTCTCTTCTTTGGTGCATTTTGCTTGGCTGTTAGGACTTTAACTTTTTGCCAACTCATGGGTTTCCATTAAACCCACTAAAAGTTAAACTTTTAGCAGGGGAGCAGAAAGCCACTGAGTCTTGTTCCCCTTGCCCTCTCTCCGCCGCTTTCGTTCGGCGCAGGTCGGAGGCCACGGAGGTGGGCCGCGACGCGGGGCTCGAGGTGCGGAAGGAGGCGGGGGAGGAGTTCTTCCAGAAGATGCAGGCGCTTGGGGGCGGGTGGGGGCTGGGTGGCTTCTGGTGTTCCGTTTCTGGCTGGTTTGGGGGTCCTCTCCTTCCGTGTTGGTTGTGTTGTTTTTGGGGGTTTGTGGCCCGTTTGTTTGGGAGGTTTGGGAGGTTTCCGCTGTTTTTGCAGTGGTTTGGTTCGTTGGGGTTGTGTTCGGGTTTTTGTTGCCAGCTTTGGGCTGGCTTTGTTTGGGCTCGTTTTCATAGTTTTGTGGCTTGGTTTTTGTTTGTTGGGTTGGGTGGTTGGCTGGCTTTGTTTTCTTAGTCAAAGCCAGCAACAAGTCAAATCTGCCAGTCATGCTACAGACCAATTGCATGCGGGAAGCAACAAGTCAAACATGTTCTGGCAAGTAGACTCAGCAGGTCGGTTGTTGCTGACTCCTGTTTGCCCACCCCAGTTCTTACTCAGAAGGACCCCCAAAACAGAGTCTTCTCCTCACTGATACAGGGGTCAACATTGGGTGGAGGAAGGTTTCTTTGAAGCTCTTGGCAGGTTTGCGAGCTTTCGCTTTTCAATCCGCTCTGCATGTTGGGCCGCAAAGAGCAGTACCGCGTTTTGCTGGCAGCAGCTGTACCCGAACCCCATTGCCCATTTTAGTGGGCGTCTACTACCTGGTTTGATGAGGGTTGCCTGTACTTGTCTCGCAGGACTACGTCCAAGAGGTGGCCGCCGCAAACACGACGCTTCCACTCGAGACAGCGGATATCCTTTTTTGTTGAGTTGGCAAGCTTTAGACCATTTGGCTGTGGGTCAAAAATAGGTACTCAAAATGAAACCATGGTAAATGGAACCAAGGACTAAAACCTGCGGTCCCCTGGCGGTTTCATTTTGACCCATACCCATTTCTTTAGAACCCATTTTGGGTTGCGGACACTCTGCCCCCGCAGTCGGCACCCTTTCCTGTTGCAGCCTTTCGTTGGAAGATTCGGGTTCTCGTTTTCGCAAAGGCCTAGAAAGCTCCAACCAGTTACAGGAGTTCAGTATCATGACATGATGAGTGGCTCATTTGGGGAAGACGTATGGATTGGGGGGAGAGGTTGTGCTTGTTGACCCGGGCTGGCTCGCCAACTTTTGGATCGGGGGCTTTGAGGTTGACACTGCCTCGGCACTGCTCACGAAATGTCAGCACAGACCTTTCACCTTTTGTCCAAGCAAGGAGCGGCCATTCCTTGGAGGCCTTCAAGGTGTGAGCAGATTCCATAGCTCTCCGCGATTGCTCCGGCCCAGGAAACCTGTCCGAGGTTAAGTTGAGTGAGGGTCCAACCTTCCGCTGGCCTAGCTGCTGTCGGCCTAAAGATGGCAGGCAAAAATCGGCGAGCATCGCCACCATTTTACCTCAGCCGTGGGCGGCAACGCCGCTCGCGCAAAGAAGCAGACGCTGCACATTTTTTTTGAAGGAGAAAAACGACGCCGCCGCCGAATTTTGAGATCTAACCTGTGGAGAGGAAGGGTTGGAGGAAGTCAACAGAAACAATCATAAAAGGCAGGGCTGAACAGTTACAACTTTTCTCCTCTTGTCTTGATCTAGATCTGGCTTTCTGGTGCCCTGAAATCCCTTGTGAGTAGTTGCGACCTGTAATTGCGAGCTGCAGATCAGCAAGCTGTGCATGTTGGTTGGTAAACACCGAGATGTGAGGGTTCCGTTGGTAAGCCGAAAGAAAACCACACCAGGGTTATACGTAAGGTGTACTTTCGGGGATGTTCTGCGTGCAGAGATTCAATATAGATATTACATTCCTGCTCTGAATTCATCAGGGGTAGCACGGTAGAACCCTATGCGAAGATGATTTGTCAAGTTGCTTTCTTTCTAGGGCCTTTTATTTGCACGCTGGCTGCGGCTGTGTCTCAAATTAACGGTCAGCATCTACTGTCATTTGCAGCCACCTACTGTTGCCAAGAGTATGAGATTGGTTGCAGCGACCAAACAACCATTGTAGAATATGTTTTTCTGCTAACGCGGTTGGCATGTCAGTTGGGGACAGCACTCGCATTGGGAGAATGGACCAGAGACCCTCAAAGGGGCTCTGGTGACACGTTGTGCTGGCCTTAAATGGGTTTTGACAACTCCTCTCTCGACATTATCCTTTTTCTTCAGACGGCCATTTTCTGACCTCCGCCTGTTCTTCCCCGCGCATCTTCCTTTCCTACCCTGGAAAACATCAAGGAACCCAACAAGGGCTGACGGAACGTAGATGGCACAATTCCCCTGGTTTTATGCTCCCAGGCCGGCGCCCGACAAGGACCGGATGGGTTTCGAAAAGAGGGCCAGGACAGAGGCCCAAAGGGTGAAATAGGATGGGCTGCAAATTTTGGTCTGGACCCTTTAAAAGAAAAACATGACATGCAAGTGCGGTGTCAACAATAACCAATCATGCACCCTGCCAAAGGTACATGAACATGAGGATGGGAGAAACGCGGTTGAACGGGGTTGACCGCCTGGTCCAGGAAATTAGGAAGTTCTTGATTGGACGTCGGCTCTTGGTTGTTTCACAAGGGAAGGACCCTTGCCCAAAGGATAGATGAACTGGGGTTCATCAGTCTGGCCCCCAAGAGCCTGTCTCTCGTCTGCTCCCTGTTTTCTGACCGGCTGCAAAGGTGCTTCGGGCATTGAGGCCGCCTTTTGCCCGTTCTTTTTTCGGGCGCGCAGAATCCACGCGCCGTTTTCAAAATTGCGAACACCCCTGCCGGCTGCCAGTCCCGAGAGCCCGGCGACAGAGACCGTCGCGCGCTGAGAGTCGAACGAGTGCGGCGGGCGTACGAGCAAATGGCTGCAGGGTTTGCAAGGCCGGGGCAAAGGCCCGGGCAAGATGGAAAACGGATTGGATGGATTGCTCAAGTTGTTCTCCGAGAGAATTGCCAATTTGTGGAGCATGAGTCATCCGTTTGACTCCCTGAATGGGGATGTTGTGCGCCTAGGTTCATTCAAGGGCCAAGACCACCGTTTGCGGTTTGACTCAGCATGACCTTGTTTGGGGTAGCAGCAGAAGGCGCCGATTTGATTGGCTTGGCGGTGGGATAAAAGGTTGCAACAATCTGAAGCTGCTCTTTTGGCTGTGGCTCAAAATTAGACTGGAGGGGTTACGCAGGTTTTGGTCCATGTTTCCACTTACCAGCAGTCCATTTTGGTACCGGTTTTTTGAGCCACAGCCTTTTGTGAAACAGTTCCTCGTTCCCCGAACTTCCCAAGTCGTCCCGCGGCTTTTTTTGCTGTTGGGAGGGGAGGGGAGGGACAATCGTTGGCTGAGAGGGACATCGTTCATGTCATAAGAACTCCGTTGCAGGTACCGGTTCAGGGGATGTGGCTGTGGTTGTCAAGACCGTTTTGGGATCCCCTTTTGAGGGATTGGTGATTTCACCACCCGATTTAGAACCTTTAGTGGGGATTGGTTGATGTTCACTGGGGGTTCGGGGGCATGTTTTTTGCCGCCTCAGCCCAGGTCGCCGGGACGAGCGGGATGCCAGCGCCCCAACGGGCCTGCCTGCAAGCTGTGGGCAGGTTGTGAGAGAGAGGCCCTACATGCGGAGTGCCGGTGAACGGCTCTAAAACGTATTGTTGTTGACACATTTAGATTTTCCTTGAGTCCTGACGTGGCTTCTGTGACGGGAGAAGGTGGGGCCCTGGGCTATGCGTTTGTCAAATGTGGACACTCATGTAGTTTGTTGCTTTCCTGCATTCTCCTTCAGCACCAACCAAAAGGCGGTCTAACTAGTGTTGCATTGTGTATGAGACCCTCATTCATTTGCTGTCACTGGGTTTGCGAATTGGTGCCAGCAAGGGCCAGCACCAGAAAGCCACAAGCTATTCACCTTTAGGGTCGGTCTAAGGACATTTTTTGGGATCATAAGTCTGCTCGACATCGCCAGGGTCGTGGGTTTGCGACCTCACTGAAGGTTTGAAAAAGGGATCCTTTCGCTCATGGCCCTCCAGAGGGGGATACGCATTTGAGTCATGGTCGCTCCAAAGATCCTAGAACAAGTCCGGTCCCTGACAAAGATGAATCAGGAAAGAGCCAAAACACGTGTTTCTGCTGCCTCAAATTCCTGCAACGAAAAAAGTTTCGGCACGCTGATACGGTAGTTGAAACAAGTTGAAACTAGGAGTGGGACGCCTAAAAACACAGATTCTCGCCTTTCAGCCTCACACCATGCCAAAGACTACGGCGCTCGAGTCGAGGGTCCAGAGAGGTCGCTCCTTGAGCAATAGGTCCCGCCCCTCCAGGACTACCAGAGGGAGGCTACCCTGGGAGATAAGCTGGGTAAGGCTCGAATAGGCATTATGAAGGGTTTATCGGGGACAGCCCCTCCACCAGAGTTTTGCTTGGCCCAGGACCGCGACAGAGGCGATCGCGAGCGCGGCGACAGAGGTGACAGAGGTGACAGAGGCGACAGAGGCGACAGGGGCGACAGGGGCGACAGGGGCGACCGCGAGAGACGCCCTGCGCGAGGCCCTAGAGTGGCAGATCTGCGGTAGGTAGCGCCTTTTAGCCCAAAGTCTTAGAAGGCAGTCAGTTCTGGGACCCTTCTTGGCATCATTATGCATTTTGAGGTTCACTAAACACTCTGAAACACATGCTTATTTGGGGAGGTAGAGTCACAGCCACAGGAATGAAGACTGGCAGTTGGAGGGGCGGAATCGGTCGGACAGGTCTGGTTGTTGAAAAGAACAATGATGCCCTAGAATGGTACACGAAGCAAGGGCCATGTCTTCCTGCCATTCCCTCATTCTGCTTCAAGCAGCATTCGTACGTCTTGCCGTCTCCCTTTCAGAGCCGCTACAGACAGAGGGTCATGGCTGGACGGCAGTGTTCCTTTGCCTTTGGATTCAGACCTCCACCGCCCACCCCCCAAAGAAAAAGAAGAGAAAAGATCAACTAAAAAAGCACAAAGAGCAACGAGGAACTTGTTTTGAGTGGGCTTCAGTGCTGTTTTTCGGGCGTAGGGGTCAGCTGGTTGGCGAGTAAAGGGGCGGTTTTTCCATGCTGAGGATCGAGACCGCGAGCCCGGACCCCAGGACCCGGCCACGAATGGGGTTCTGTGGGCAACAAACAAGGTGTCCTTTTTGGTCGTTTTGCTAGAAAAATGGATGGCCCTGGTTTACCTGGTGGTTTAATCATCTACCAGGGCCATCTATTTCCCCTAAAAGGACACCTATGGCAACAAAGCTCTGAGGCGTCAGAACTCGGGGGGAAAGAGAAGGTACGAGAGAGTCTCCTTGCCATGAAATTCGGCTGGATCTCCGCCCTTTCTTCTATTCCTGAACATGGTGTTGGGTAGACCACTTCAATACCACGTTTTGATTGTGACTCGCATGTTTTGGTTTGAAGATCCCCCGAGTGCATGGTGAAGGAATTGATATTGGACATGTACGCGACCACGTGCACTGACAAGGCCCTTGACATTGTACAAGACCTCGGTGTCTGCCCGGACTGCAGACACGTGCTGCTTGTGGCCGGAACCATGAACAGAATGGGGGTAACTGTCCAATCCATTTGATGTTGCCACAAAAAAGGAGGGTGTGGCGAACATGAACAACGACATCTGATTACTGTAGTGAGTGATGATTTCATTTGTGTCTCGGCACATTTCGCTGCCCGCCCCTGCCCATTTTGTGCACTGCATGCGTCTTCTTCCCGTGATTGCAGGCAAAGGCAAGGGCCCCCCCCTTCAGCCCCCTTCAGAAGGGAGCTCCAACACCTGGGTTATATCAGCCTGACCCATCTTGGCAGAACCCACCAGATCTTTGAGTCTTGGGCACTCGAGCGGGAAGCCAGTGAGTTGCTCCTGACGATGAAGGCTTTCAATATTCCTTGCAGGCTGAGGAAGCTCACGGGGTGCGGAAGAACCCATCTTGCTGTTTGTTCGCTTGTGTTGGAAGGTTTTGTGACTTGACGGCTTGATGGAGATTGCTGTATGGCCGGATGCCCAAAATCAGCCGTGTGTTCCTTTTGTTTGTTTCCCTTTCAAGCCGCTAAACAAGGAGGTCGTCACCAGAGTTGGGCAAACATTGATTGAACAACCAGACCCTTTTCCCTCTAAAAAACAAAATTGTGAAACATGTCAAAACGAGGCGTCCGCCCAACGCTGGCTAAAGTCAGCTCAGGTGGCATCCCCGGCAGCAACCCCCGGAACCTGAACGGTGCGTGAAAACGTCCAGAGCTCCGAACCACTCCGGATCTGATTTTTGGGCCTATCGGCCCCACAAAGCCTTCAGCTTAGGCCCAGCGAGCGCCGTGGCCGCGCAGAAGAGGATGGGAACTCTGCTAGAAAGGGCGGGGGGGGGGATCCGCAAAGTATAGACACCCTGCTCAAACGGGGCGCGCGTTGATGTCATTTGTTGCTGCAAAACGCGTGGAGAATACTTTGGGGTATGCATGGATGTGATCATTGAGATCTTGTGAGCTTGCAACGTGCCCATCGTCTTGCGCCAGGATGTTGTGCAACGTGGCGCTTTCTGTTTCAACAGAGTTCGCACAGCCCAAGATGTCCAGAGGGCAGATGTGAACGGAGCATGCTGGTCACTGCATGCTCCGTTTCTGGCTTTGGCAAGTGGAGAGAACATGCCTCTGGCGATTGCTCAGCTTTTGAGGTGCTGTGCCAGTCCGAATGTCCTTCCACATGATCTTTCTCTTGGCAGGCACTCGGCGTTGTCGTTTGTGACACTGAATGCTACATCCAATCCGCATGCTTTGGCAGTAGCGGGTCTTCTTTTGCACGCAAGGGAGGACATCCACTTCCGTGGCGATCCTGGCAGGCATTTTCCGCGCTCTTGAACTGACGAGCAGGGCTTACCTTCAGGCCAAGAAGGGTTCGGTCTTGCTAACGATGTTGGCGGAACAAAGCGCAACTCCCTGCCATGCGTGCTTGGCACAGAGCTTGTCCAACTCTATCCGAACGGAGCAGATGTGAATGCGAGGAATGCCCGGGGCCATTCTGCAGGACCTGACTCAGTCCCAGGCTGTGAATTGACCCATGCGCGAGGCGATTGAGCCTGGGAACCCGGCAGAGTGGGAAGGTCCAGAGCTTCAACAGCCATGCTGGCCTACAGAAATCCAGCAGTGAATTCAATGGTGCTAAGAAAGATGCCCGCAGGGCCATGAGTATGAATGGTGAGCCTGTTGGCGGACTTAAATCCCCATGTTAAAGAGTTTACCAAAGGGTTCGCAGCTAAAACTCATACCCAGACACGGGTATACCCATACACGGGTAGGTGTCAAAGTAGGGAGACCACACAGTTGTCGATTTCCTTGGATTTGTTGTTGAGTAACATTTTGAACCTTCAAGGGTACCCTCAACAAAACGGCACGCATGCATGTGTGATTCAAACCCGCGCCCCGGCAGGACGAGCGCGCTAGCAAGCGCCGACGCGAGGACACGGGGTGCCTGGAGTCGCAAAGTTCGCAACTCGGGGGGCCAAGCTGGGCGTCTTGGAGAGGAACACCTTCCCCCAAGAATTCGGCATTGTGTTTGTCTGCCTTCTTGTTTTTGCTTTTGTTTGTTCGTTAGTTTGTTTATGCATGTTTGATAGTTTGCTAGTTTGCTAGTTTGCTAGTTTGCTAGTTTGCTAGTTTGCTAGTTTGCTAGTTTGCTAGTTTGCTAGTTTGCTAGTTTGCTAGTTTGCTGTTTGTTTGTTTGTTTGTTTGTTTGTCTGCTTGCTTGCTTGCTTGCTTGCTTGCTTGCTTGTTTGTGTCATATTGTTTTGTTTTGCTTCGCTTGTTTGTTTGCTTGCTTGCTTGCAGTCGGTCCCAACTGCGACGGTTGCCTAATGTTTGCCAGCCAAAGGTGAGTATGTCTTGTGTGTGTGCGCGCGTGTGTGTGCGTGTTTGGTGCTTCTTTTTTTTTTTAAACCTGTTATCTTGGGTTAGTTTCAAAGAGAAACGAGAAGGCAGGAAACCCTTAGTTGGTCTGGGTTGGTGGTTTTGAGATTTGAACACCTGGTTCTTGTTCAGGGTAAATGCCAAAGCTCCAAACTACCAATCCAAATCACCAATTGGAGGGAATGAACGAGGGTGGGTCTCAGGACAATCTCTAGGAGTTTGATCTACATCCAGAGACTGCCGAAAAAGGTTGGTACATGTGCGGCGGGAAGCTTGCAAAGCAAGTCGCCCCTTCCAAGATTCTTCCAGCTTCTTTCAAGATGAACTCCTCAAAACACCGCTCCCTCAAATCCAACTTTTCAAACAACCACCATAGTCTACCCAACTCCCTCATGCAAAGTCCACCACCATATAACATGAGTCTGCGAAAACGCCTCAGACTGCATGCCGCAGCCAGCAGGACGAGGACTACCGGCGCCGGGGCGAGGAGGAGCGGCACCGCGGGGGCCCCAGCAAACTGAGCGCCGATCGCTGCCTGCGGGGCGATCGACATCAGCGAAATGGGGCTGTTGCACTTAAACCCAATAGGGGGTTGCTGTGCGCGTGGTAAACTACTTTTGGCGAGTTTTGTGTGTTCTTTGAGGGTAGCCTTTGAAGTCAGCTTCCCTTGAATTGCTGGTTTGGAGCCAGGTGGTTAGGTTGGGGCTCGTTTCCCGTTTACCCTCATCAAGAAGCCACTCCGAACCCAATTAAGGGCAGAGGCTGGCTCAAGGTAAACCAAAAGGAAACCGCCATCTTGGGGGTCCCTTGCTTTGATGCGGATTGGTTTTGGGGGAAAGTCGTGAGTCACGACTGGGGTTCGTTCCCATGTATAAAGGAACCTGGAATGGCGTTTACCTGACCAACCACCTTGAGGAAACCAACAGCGCGTTTCAAAGCCCAAGCCTGGCGGTTGCCGAATTCAGGTGATAGGGGAGGTTCTGGGCCCAAGATGCTAGGTAGCATGCTGGGGGCAACCCGGGATTTTTGGCCGTTTTTCTAAGGCAAGCAAGAGGAGGAGAGGAGAAGAGGCGATGAGCGGCCCGGGCGCCTAGAGAGATCTGGGGGTTGTTTGCAGCCATGGTTTGTCACGCATTCCCTGATTTGTCTATGGTTCAGTTGGGAGGGACATGGGGCAACTCGCTAGGGGGGCCTCACTGGTTTCTCCATGCCCTGTTGGACAAATCCAAGTAATTGTCACCGTGGCTCTTGCACAAGCCTTGAGGTTCAACCAACAGGTCACCAACGTAGTGGCTGACCTGGACACGTTGAGTATGCTATGGCAGGTTTGTTTGCTACGGAGTGTTTGGAACATCTTCATTTGTTTTGGACCTGGTTTCTGTTGGTTTTGATCTGTTCCAAGAATCACTTGGAGGTCGTTTTGGCATTTGGGCGATCTCGTTTCGCCATGCAGGGAGAACGTGTTGGGTTTCTTATGTGTTCCCCGCGAGCTTTGGGGAACCCACCCAAAGTCATTTGAGCGCCCCGGATCTCGCACTTTGTTTGCGATATTCGAAGGCTTCCACTCCAAAATGAGAACCATCGCTGCTCCACTTGGCTTGAGTCTCATTTTGGAGATGTCGCAACTGGGCCCACAGTCGTGGGACATGGGGTTTCAGGGCCACTTTCTGTGATACCAAGGTGGAATCTGCTTTGAAGTGATCCAGTGACAAAGTAGTCGCGGTCCTAAACAAATGGAATGAGGTCGGCGTGCTTTGACACCAAATTTCGTCATGACTAAAGTGTTTAAACATTTGGCCATGGGTCAAAATCCAAATCGTACCCCCAGCGAACATCCCAATTCCCACTAAGATAGGTTCTAAAATGGGTGGTGCTTTCACCAACCCCCCAAAATGGGATCAACCAAAACGGTCTTGACCACCACCGCCATTTCGCCCCAGGCGGAAGGAGGACGAGGGGGAGCGGAAGCGGAGAGAGGAGCAGGACCGATTCGAGGGCCCGAGGGCCCGAGGGCCGATTTCGAGGCCAGAGGCCGAAGGACCCGGGGCAACAGGTCATGGCCAGGGTGTACCTACCCTTCTGACCTAATAAGATTATTACCCAAGAATGACATTTTTTTTTTTTTTTAAATCATGATACTAATATTACGTAATATTAGTAAGACCTCAATTGCTTTTTGGCTGGAGCTCCAAAAAGGGGGCTACATGGGAACCCAAAAAAATTGCAACTGAGCAAACCCAGTGACCCCTGTTCAGCCCCTAGTTTAAACAACCTCCTTTGAATTTCTCGCCCAAGTGGTCCAAGTGTTTGAACTATTTTTCCCGGCCATTTAACATCGTTGCCACATACCAGCTGGAAAGAACCACCTGCCCCACCACCAATACCCTTGGCTTCCCAACATCTTGAGAACGCGAAACACACATCGGCACCGAATTCGAGCATTTGGAATTCTCTACAAGCGCCCCAGTGCTTGTTCTGCCTTGACTCTTAGTCCTGACCATCGGGCTGATCCGAGCGCCAGCAGAACAACGGAAGGCCCGTTTTCTTTTGCGGGGTTGCAGGTGCGGTCATCTCCCTTCAACCTTGGGTTGACTTTGAACATGCGAAGACTCAAGCAGAAAGGACAAGCACACATCAACGGGCGGGCCCTGAGTTGCGTGAGGGGAGCCCATGAGGTGGGGAGTTTGTGGGCAACCTGCCGCGGACATCAAATTCCATTTGCAGGTGTTTTCTGGAATCTCCTCCAACATGATTTCATACTTAGGGCGTCGACTAAATATAGACGAGACTCTGAAGTGTTTTAATGTACGCCAGCTTTGGGCACATCTGGGTACCTCTGGGTTACACAACCTCGGCCGGCGGCTTCTTCTCCCTCCAAGCACTGGGCAGGACAAAGTTAGAAGAGAGGAAGAGAAAAGGAAGAAGGAGGAGGACTGCGAACCTGCGGATGGCATGGCTGTAAGCTCGCCAACATCAAGTGATGTCAGCATGGCCATGCGCGGAACGTGGAGACTTGCTTAAGTTCTCGATTCTGGAATATGAATTGAAACACTACACATGTATACATGTACATGTAGGTATAGACATACACCCGTACCTACCCACCTGCCTGCCTACCTATCCCTACCTATCCCTACCTATCCCTACCTATCCCTACCTATCCCTACCTATCCCTCCCTATGCCTACCTATCCCTACCTATCCCTACCTATCCCTACCCATCCCTACCTATGCCTACCTGCCTGCCCGCCTGCTTGCCTGCCTGCCTGCCTGCATGCCTGCCTACCTGCTTACCTACCTACATACTCAACCCCTCCTCTTGGCATGCATTCAAGGTGAGGTATCAGCTAAGCACCGCATGAAGGGTTGCCAACGCAGCTCCAAAGCTCGAGCATCCAGCTTAGATGGGTCTTTCCAGCTCAAAAATGGCCACCAAAAAAGCGTTTGTTTCGATGTACCAGGGCAAGCCATTTTGGGCACCTCTTCCTGACTTCCTGACCCACGGCCATATTAGACGTCACCGAGGGGCCCGCGACAAAAACCGTGCGGTCCATCCGAGGACATGAGGCGGAGGGAGGAGGAGCTGCAGCGGCGGCGGGACGAGAAGCGGCGAAGGGAGGAGGAGGCGCAAGTTTTTCTCCCGTCTTTTTGTTGTTTTTTTTTTTTTTCCCCCCCTTTTTTTTCGGGGGGGGGGGGGGGCTTGGGGACGGAGGAGCGTGGGGGCTTGGGGATTTGGGTGATTTGGGGGTTGGAGGGTTTGGAGACTTGGGGAGGGGCAGGATTTGGTTCAGGCTTGGGCATAGACGCATCCCCCTCGCAAGGATTGGAGGACGCCCTACCCTGCCCATTTTGACTAAAACTCAACATGGTCGTTTTTGCCAAGCAGTAGCCAGGCCAGCATGAACTTTAGTCTGCCCCGGTTTCTTCTTGGTTCACCTTGTGTGCCCTACCCTTTACCCCAATGGACAATGGGACAATGCTGGCTCTTTCCATGAATCAAGGACTCCGTAGAGGCAAAACGTCCGATATGGACAAATACGACAGGGTCTTGGGTATAGCCCAAGGAACTCCTATTTGGCTGAAGCGGACTACCCATCCCCTTCGCCCAGGAAAGGAAGAAGGCTGATGAGGAGAGACGAGCCCGCGCCCAAGACAACCAACTGCAGTTGGAATGGGGTGGACAAGAAATTCATTTCGTGCAATCATTTAGCTGCCTGCATCATCTTCAGCTTTTCGCGTTTCGGCCACTGTTGTTTGAGCTCGATATGGTAGGGTGAAAGGGGACAGGTGAACATAGGCCCCCGCCCGAAAAAAATAAAACATAAAAAAACACACGATGGGCTTTTTTTTGGTTTCCATGTGAATCCATGGACCCGTGGACCCATTGATGCATGGATGCAGGGGACCAGGCAATTCCGGCAGGCCAAGCAGGCAGAGGAGCGCCGCCGGGACGAGGCACCAAGTCCGGCAATCCTGGGGGGGGGGGGGAATGAGCGAAATCCCCATGTAGACGAGCTCACCATGTCGGCCTTTTTGATTTTTGATGGGACCCAATTCTTGGTGCAGATTTTGGAATGATTGAGTAGTTGAGCAGATCTTTCAGCCAACAGCTGGGCTCAGGTGTTTTTGATTCCGGCGGGATGCCCGAGATTCGGGGTCTGCCCACTTATTCCAAAACAAGTACAAGTGACTGTGCAACATTTGGGTAAAACAGAGGAGTCCTGGCGGAAACTTGTCCAAGCCAGGGGGACCCTTTCAGGTTTCATGATTGTTTCTGGGAGGGTAACATGTCTCCCTTTCAATATTCGCTTTGCGGTTCTTTTTCCAGACACCCGTGGATCCTTGAACTGGCTGCTTTTTTTTTCTCTCCCTGCCGACCGTGGAACCTGAAACATCCTGCCAAGCTTGGCGAGAAGTGGCTGACACCCTCCCCCTCGAGGAGTCCGAATGAATCTCTGCGGTTGCAACGCCTTGCGCAGCCGTTTCTCAGGTTTTCCGGCTCAGGGGCCCTTCTTGGACGGATCAAGGCTTGCAATGGCTCATAGCCAGTTAAAGGGTCTTCTAAGTTTCATGGTGGCAATGTCTCACTCATGTGCCGAATTCCGTGGAGCCAATTTCGGAGTAAGTTCCTGAAATATGTGGGCAAAATATTGAAATGTGAGAGTTGAGGTGGTTGCAGGTCCAATTTTATGCTGGGGTAAGGGTTCGTTTTAATAGCAAGTGCGCCAAAGCAAACAGCTGGGAAATGAGGATGACCCTTCCCATTGCAGGTGTCCGCTCACCCAAACGGGATTCTTGAGCAACACTGGACCCGTGAGTCCTAAACGTCGGACCCTCTTTTGAATGGTGCTTAGCGAGACATCATCCTTCCTTTTTGGGTGGTTCTAAAGGGAAGCCGAGAGAACCAGTGGTTTGGGAGCCCTCATAAGACGCACCCATTTCGACCAGCGAACTCCTGCGCCAGGAGCGCAGAAAGATAGAAGAGGAGAGGAACAAGGAGGCGCCCCGGCGCACTGAGTCCATCGTGCTCATTTTCCGATGGACCATACCCCTGTTTGTTGTCGGATGTTTGTCTAATTCTTGACCCGGCAAATATACACCCGGGGGGGTCGGGACCCCGCATAGGAGTTTGAGCCTCTTCCGCACCCCGCATCGAAGGTTGGAGTTGGGTTGGTTTGTGACAGTCTCCCAAGTTCAATCGATGTTCTAGGCTGCTTACCTTTGCTGCTTGGAGCTCAGCCACTGAGTCAGTCCCCTTTGGGATGCTCCAAAGGGACGCTGGGTTCGAACTCCCGGATCTGCCGGTCTTTTGAGCCAAGCCGCCACCTTTGTCCACTGCATTCAGAGAATTTGGGGCCAGTGGTTTGGCCATCGGACGTGTCAAACTCGAGATTCGGACCCAACTGGCTGTAATTCTCGGCATTTTCCGCTTGAAGCCTTGAAGCCAACCTTCAGAAGGATGAGGGGCCAATGGAAAATCCGAGCTTCAACCAAAACCCACAACCATCAGAAGGAGGACGCGCCTCAAACACAACAAACAAAACCCACTCTTGGAGAAAACCGCGCATGCGTGCCGCAGGAGATGGAGCGCAAGCGCCGGGAGGACTGGCAGCGCCACGAGGCCTGCTGGGAGGAAACTCTGCTTTTGGCAGAAGCTGAAGTTGTCCTTCTTTCTTTTTCGGTGGACTCCGAAAAGGTCTGAATTTGGAATCTAAACAAGCTTTAATTTGAATTGCAGCCTTTTGGTTTGACCGTGGACTCCTCAATCCTTTTGCGCTGGATGACCTTTTTCGCTTCTCTGAACATTCAGTTGTCGAGTTGTTCATGGGCCGAGCTGACTGATTGGGGGTCCGTCAGGTGGCAGTTTGTGCTCGGATTTGGGCACGAAGAATCTGCGCGGGAGGGGGTGGGCGGCAAGCAAAAGTTGCAAAAGAAATGGCTAAACAGTTACACACTTTATTCTCCCATGATCATGAGGCAATTTGGTCATGAGGAAGAGGTTCAGGTTTAGGGTTTAGGTTGAAGGGTTTGGGTTCAAGGGTTTGGGTTCAAGGGCTCCGAAACGCTGCAAACCACGGGATTCGGGTTCAGCTTTATTGGTTAGGTTTATATTTCTTGGGTTTAGGTGTCGAGTTTGAGGGGTTTAGGTTTCCGATTTTTGGGGCTTACTTTCCGTAGGCCGACGGGACCCGAGCCGGAGCTCAAAACGCTGGCCCTGTGCATGCAGTTGCGGCCAACCCGGCCCGACAAGCGATGGGGCAGATTTCATAGTCGTGCTACTTGTGAAGGTGGTTTTGGCCCCTCGACCCTTCAACCCTCAGGTAACCCTTCATTGCTTTGGATTGGTTTGGAATTGGGGATTTGAATTTCCGGCTCCAATCCGCAGGGTGATTTGAGGGTTGAAGGGTCGTGGTTTTGATTTGCGGGTCCATGGGATTTGAATTTCCGGCGGTCCAGCGAAGCACCGGGCTCCCATCGAGCCGCCAGGAGGTCTGGTTCTTGTGGCCGGCTCCAACCCATGGGTGAACTGAGGGACTCTCCCCCCGGGAAATTCCTTGGCCTCGTTGGCTCCTTCCCAATTTTTGTTTTTTCTCCAACCACAACTCGGGACACTGGGGTAGTTTTTTTGATATGGCAGTTGGTCAACACCGTTTTGGGATCCCATTTTGGGGTAGGTGAATTCACCACCCATTTTAGAACCTATTTTAGTGGTTGGATTGGTTGATGTTCACTGGGGGCTAACCGATTTGGTTTGAAAAGCCCATGGCCATATGTGGCTCCATGGGGTCTTCGCCCAACCCACACCCAGTCGTCTTCAACGCCAGGAGGAGCTCCAGCGCCGGGCAGAGGAAGAGAAGCGCAAGGCGGAGGACGAGCAGCGGCGCCGGCCTGTGTCTTTGACCGCGGCAAGGGGGGGGGGGGTTCCATTTATTCGTTTTTTGTGCTCCTTTTTTTTTGGGGGGGGGGTTTTACAGTGGGTTTCTTGGTTTTTGGTGTTTCTCAAATCAAAATGGACTGCGGATACTCTTTTGGTCGGTATTTAAGGGAGACCCAAAGGACACCGTTGCCGCTTTAGAGGTCCACTATGACTATCGGTTTGTGGACAGGTTTCCCTTTTTTGGGTGCGAGTTTTTGTCAGACTAAGGTTTAGGGTTTGTAGGGGGAAGTTTTGGTTTATCCAACACAACCTGACCTGCAAAATGGTGGCGTTCTTTTGGTGTTCCTTAAGAAAGGGTACCAACTCAAAACAGACAATCTCCTGTTTCCCCTCGTGGATGGTTTGAACATCACTTGTGCGTTCCTTTTGGTGGGATGTTAAAAAGGGGTGCCTTGGATCCGGGATGGGGATGGGCTGACTGAAGGGGAATGGAAAATCAGGTGGCCCGTTTGTGCAGGTGGCATTCGTATGTTGGTAGGTTGCAGTCGATTAGTTGAAGTTGATTCATTGTAGTTGGCTTCCTAGATGGCTGGCTGGCTGGCTGGTTCGGAGCTGGCTGGCTGACGTATGATTCCTGCATTCATCATGCCATGAGAATAAGATAAAGGGGCCGAACCCAAGAAAGGAATCTCAAGGGCCCTTTAACCCACTCCCCGAGGTCCAGCGCTTTGTACTTTCTGGGAAGACTCCTAACTCTTGAGCCCACCCAGGACCTCAGTTAGCAGGTGTCAGTTGTCGCCAGAGATCTGGAGGCAGTCTGCGCGTGCCAGGAAGAGGAGGGAGGAAGAGGCCAAGGTCCTGCGACAGCAGCAGGCGAGAAGGGAGAGGGCAGCGACAAGAACAAAGAACAAGAATAAGAGCGACAACAACCAGAACCACAGCCAGAACCACAACCACGAACTCAACGAAGAACGCAAGTTTAGTCACAACGACCATTGCAAGCACAATCACAACCATAAGCACAAGCAAAAGCAGGCCAGAACAAGGACCACGCGCACAAGCACGACGACAACACCGCCGAGCGTGGCGGCGACTATGACCATGCTCCGAAAAGAAGAGAACACAGAATCATAAACACAACAAACACCCGCACTACAACAAGACACCCACGAACCACTAGAAGACACTAGAAGGAGGGGGGAATCCAACCAGGAGAGACACACTGCCGCCACACCACAAAAAAGAAGACAACAACCAATTTAAGGGCCTAAAGTTTACAAACATTATTCACCTGTGAACATGAGGGAATTTGGTTCAATTGTAATTTGCCGAGCCCACTAGCTTGACTGTTTCCAGCAGGTGTCGAAACCAGAAACTGGGGTTGTCCTTCAACTTGTTTCGATGCTGAACAAATACGTGGCCATAGCATCCCACACTCCGTTCGCACAAACGCAAACATAGCTGTCCCAGCAGTTGGCATGGACGGCACTGGTTTCAGTTTGGTTCTAATCACACCAGTGGATTCCATCTAGTCTTCGAAACGGAACTCGACCTTTTGGTTTCCCATTTTGGTCCATGTTTTGTCAAGGTCCCAAGCAGTCAACATTTCAATTCCAGGCCCTTCAGCCAACTGAGTTGTAGGTCCTTCAGCCAGCCTGGTCATGTCCAGGTTCCTTGGGCAACTGAGCCGTACGAGAAAGCACGTCTCAAAAAGTTCTGGTGCGCGAGGCCACGCTCTCGGTGCTGCGGGTGCTCCAGAAGCTGTCGAACGCCAGCACCGCCCTCGGGGTCCCCGGGTGAGAGGTGCGCGGGTTTCTGGTGCATGGGTTTGTCTCAACATGAAGCCCCTGATGATAGGTGTCCTTTTTGGTTGTGTTGCTAGAAAAATAGATGGCGATTCCTGGTTTGCCTGGTGGTTTGATCATCTACCAGGGCCATCTACTTCCCCTAAAAGGACACCTATGCCCCTGATGGTTTCCTTTCGGTTTCCCTTGGAACAACCACCCCCAAAAAGGGTCCTCAAGCAACACACCACTGTTCATCGGGTCTTTGTTGGCTCACATACATCATCGCCGGAGTTCGGTCACCTCGGGTGCGGGTACACAGGCCTGAAAGAACATGTTTGAGTGGACTTGCCCCGCTGACCAAATGACGCCCCGACGGTTGGCAGAGGCTTCAGAGGCGCTGGCAGAAACGCGAACCGAGCCGAACCACAATCCAAGCTCGGGTAGGTGAAGGGTAGTAAAAGACAGTCCCAGCCACAACAGGTGCGGATCTCCGCCCTTTTCATTCTTTACATGTTTTTGGGGTAGACCCCTTTCGTCGAACCTAAAAAAACACCCGAAAGCCTAAAGCCTATGGGCAGGGTCTGAATCTACCAGGCGCTTGTGACTCCGAGGCCCCGACAACTTTGAGACTTTGAACAAAGAGCTCGAGGAGGTCGCGCGCCGATTGCGCCGACTTTGCGCAAGCGAGGGGATGTGGCGCATGGATCCGGGGGTCGGTTTGAGCTGATGTGGGTCCCTTGCGTGGGAAGCCTTTGTGAACGTATTTCAGGCGTGGGAGCATTGTAGAGATGGCAAATGTTTGAATGGTCGACCTGGATATGTAAGACACTGTGGAGGAGAGCAGAATTCCTCAGTTTGGAAGTCCTGCCGTCCGGCTGGTTGGAGCATCTAGAAGGTTTGGAATGGCGGCTGAGCACACATCCAGCAACAAGCTTCCCAACATTTCGTGCTTGAGAGCCAAGCAAACTGCCAGACGAATCCAATATAGCCACCAACCTGCACCCACCATTTCAACGGCGACTCTTTCCAGAAGACACCTTCAATCCTTGCAGCAACTCCGGCGTAAGCACCAACCGCCCATGACATGTTTCAATCACTTTGCCAGGCTCGGGTTTGAAATTTCGAGCCACCAGCAAGTCAAGGGAATACCCATCAGCCTCTTATATGAGTCGGCCCTGGCAAGAGGTTTATAAAGGGGCTACCTGTCTTGGGGTAGCTCTGGGTGCGTTCCTCTCGCGTGGAACCGCGAGGTTTTGGCCAACGAACTGCTGGAGACTGGAGCACAGCAGGACAGCCGGTCGGAGCATGGCTCCTCCCCGATGGGCCGACGTAAAGCTTTTCGTTTGAATGGGACAGCCCCCCCAAAGAATCAGCCGGGGTTTGGTTTTAGCTGGGTTCCCGCTAGGTTCAGAGGGCCGAGGCTTGGTTCCAAGTTGTACAGGGAGTGGACTCTTGGCCCAAAAGGTTTTCAGGAATATTTTGAGGGCAAGCTGAGTAGTAACATGAAACATGTTTTTACGACCGCTCTTTTTCGGAATCCCATCACGGTTGTTTGTGAGATTTTGAGATCGCATTGTGCAAAAAAAAGAAGGCTCGAGCCCTCTTTCTCATTTGGTCGTTTCGGCATCCATCCATTTCGGCTCTGCCGGATGGTCTAAGTACTCTCGGGGTGTTTGCCATGTTCCCGCTAGGAAATCCTCAAGGCTGAGGCAGACAGGGTCTTGGAGTATGCCAAGCAGTACGTCGAGCAGGCCATATGTTGCAGGGGCATGGCTGGGCTCGGATGGGGGTGTATTTTTTTGGTTCAGACCCCAAACCAGCTTTTGTTAACTACTAATCGTTTGCTCCTGTCATGACCTGATTATTTGCTTTGCTTTCATCGTGCACAGCTATCATTTTTTGTTGGCCCGTATAGTAGCAAGATTCCCCTCCCTTCCACTTACATGAAAGCTCCTTGAAAAAGACCAGTTTTTCTATTTTAAGGGACCCTCTGTCAGCTTCATGTTTGTAGGGAGGGTGTAAAGAGCAAACTCGGGCCCCGCGAACGCCCGGAAAGGTTCAGAACCCCTCGTAAGCAGCTTTTTCCGGCCCCTGAAAATGGCTTTTGGCTTCCTCGCAGTTTCCCTCGTGGAATAAGACGCTAGTGAGAGAAAACCCCAAAGACGGTGAAGCAGGTTGCAGCCTTCTTTGGGGTCCTTTGGCGATTCTGGGGCTGTCGCCTAAGGGAACCCAGGAAGTGCCAACAAAGGGCCCAAGGGGCTGAGCTGCTGGGGGAATGAGTCCGCTGTGAGGGTAAGTAGGAGGTTTGACCATGACCATGTCCCATGACGAGGTTTGGACCATGACCCAAGCTTTTGACCATCCAAAACGTGGTCATGCCTGTCACTCCTTTGCCGAAAACAGATGCGAGACCTCGGCACAGTATGTGTCAGTTCTTGCTTTACTGCAGTTGTTCTTCATGTGAACTTCCGTTCTTGCGGTTCTGACACCGACTCACGCTTGCTGCAACTGCCACGGGTGGGTGGGTCGGGTAGAATTTGCCGCCCGCTTTCTTGGCTCAGCCGTGGCGCAACCATCCAACAGCCTCACTCGCACCGTCGCACCAGTCGCGCGATTCGAGTGGAGATTCCAATGGGGCCTTTCCTTCTGCCCCTTTTCTTCCAGCTTGCGCTCGGTACCAAGCCACACGCGCCTCTGCCAGAGAATGGATTGGGGATACAAGAGGATCTCGCCATTTTCACCATATTGTTTGGATATTGTTGGACCAATAATGGAGTGGGGGAAAACACGGGTCTCGCATTTCTTTCCTATTTTGGATGTCGAGTTTTCACCACGTGCAGATGGTTTGACCAGTCTGAAAAGAGCCCTTTCATCCTTGTGGTGGGGAGGGGGACTCCTGGGCGGGGGGGGGGGGACACATAGAACACACCAGGGAAACGTCTCCGAAAGCTGCGGGGAGTCTTCAGCAAGACTTGCCAAAGTCCCGCACACTGGGGCCTGAAACCTACGCAGTAGATGAGCCTCCTGTTTGGGGACCCCCTTTTGATCTCCATGTTACTTTTCCAGGTCCCCTGATACTCTCATGCCATTCAACTAATCATTTTCGGCTGATGAGAAGTCTTTTGTACACCCAGCTGGTTTTGGGATGTATCCTTGCGAGCGTTTTTGGACCGGCGACTGGCGTCTGAAGTTGAGCCCCTCAAAGCGGAAGCCAAGTCTCCAAAACGGGGACCTCCCCCACAAAAAAAGAAAGGGGCCGTGTTCCCACAACTCAAAAACCCCATCCGGACCACCAACTCTGACCAGGCTCATGGCCTCTGCAGAAACACAGGGGTTACAGTTCCAGGAGGTCTTAGAGGTGACGCGTGAGAAACAAGTGAGTTGGGGCCGTGTGGCTCGTCCGGCGAGAACGGCGGTTCCACAGGGTTTGTTTCAACTGGTTGGTTACCATGTCCCAAGCAATATCACTTTCGTCCTTTGTCGCAACAGGTTATTTTGTGCAGGTTGCTTTTCACCTCAGCCATTTCTTGAAATAAGCAGTTTTTCAATTATCTGCAGATACCAGCAAGATTTCACTGCCAAGCTTGGCAGGTTTTTAGGTTCCAGGTATGGCGAAGTTGCATCTCGCAATTCCCACTTTCGTCGGTCCGAGGTGTTGTTCATCCTCGCAGACGACTATGGCTGGGGCAATATGGGCGCTTCTCGGCTCAACGCGCTGGTCCGGGACGTCAAGCCGGCCTGGAAGGGACTCGACGGATTTTTTTCGTGTGTTCCGGGGAAACTGAGATCTGGTGGGTTTCTGGCAAAATGGGCTTGGACCAGCAGAAAGGGATTGGACATTTTGGAGTTCCTGGTTTGTCCAAGAGGGGAAGGGTGGCCTGCCAAGGGCAGGCGTTGGGGGTGTTGCTCCGAGGTCCAAGCGTTCTCGTTTCTTTGCCTAGTTGCGTTGTGAAGCATTCTGCGTGTCATGTGGGGGTCAGGTTTGAAGCGAAGATGTGCACCCTGAAAGTGGCTCTCAGAAAGCCACGAAAATCAGAAGGGCACAGGGGGAGGATATCGGGCCCGGCATGATTCCAATGGATCCCATGAGGCATTCCATCCTCGTTTTTTGCATGCCAGGACTTGGTCCACACGCCATCAAAAATCTGAGTCAGATAGTTTGCTATGCTCGCTACTTGTGGTCTCAAGAGTTCCACCATCACTTCTGGCTGCTATGGCCAACACTCGGATTTTGTACCCGCTAGACATATGGTGCTAAGCGGCCATGGCCGCTGGGCATGGGCCGAGGTGCACCGACGGAACCCCACGTCCCCGGAGGAGGAGCAAGCGGAGGCGCTTGCCGGGCTCCCTCCGCCGCGGCCAAAAAAAAGAGGTGTGTGTGTGTGTGTGTGGATGCTTCATCTCAAGAAGCCGTGAATCTGACAGATTCGCGGCTTCTTGAGATGAACCATCCTCTGTTAGCTTGGCTGTCTTTTGGACTAAGATTGGGGCGTGTGGGCATGTCCTGCCGTGTGTTAGGCGGATTTGTTGTTTTTCTGCGGGTTTTTCCGGGACTGCAAACAGGCCACAAGCGGAAGTCTTGGCGCCTGGAAGCAAGCAGCATCTGCCGAATCTGCCCCCCCCCCCCCCACAAATTTTGGAGGACCCCCCGCTATGTTTTGTTTTACCAGCTTCATCCAAACGGAAACTTGACACCCTACAGTCGACCCAGGGTTCTACTTCGAACCCCATCCACAACTTTCGGAACATACGTTCTGGAGAACCTGGCAGGTTCTCCCAATTTGGGGGATGCCTTTGAAAACGAGACCAAAATTCAGAGCCCAACCCCGAGGAACTGAACACGTGAGAAGCGCCAAACACGGTCGTGGCTCTGAAGTCGGAGAGGCGGAGGTCCAGACCCCGGTGCTCGACTCCCTGATCGACACCGGCGTGTTGCTGGACCGGCCCGGCGCCCAAGCGCCAAGTTCTCGGACGCGGTTTGGTTTGGACAGATCCTACTAAAACGGGGGGGGGATGTAACATGTGTAATCCTTGCAGAAGGGGTGCGTATTTTTCCAGCTATTGGGGGTGTCTCAAAAGAGGGGGTCCCTCAAAAAGAATGGGTTTTCGCCAAACAAATAGGAAGAGAGACACGGCTGGGTGTCGTTTTGAGGGAACCCCCCACTTCTGCCGGGCAGATTTGGGAGCTGTCACGGTGGCGGTCTGGGAGCCACCTGTGAGGTTCTTGGAAAGCAACAGTCCACCAACTCCCCTTTTTCGATGACAGCGGATGTGGGCCTTTTGAATCTTTCTGATGGTAATTTTGTTTGTGCCCCGGTGGCACTTCCATGATTGGCAGGGTAGCAACCAGTTGAGCCATCAAAACCTGGGTAGAAGGTTAGTAAGGGACGATCCCAACCATAAATAGCTGCGGATATCCGGCTTAGTTCTTTACATGATTCTGGGTCGACCATTTTTGTGTCGGGTGTTGATTGTGGCTCACCTTTTGGAGGTGGCCAGAGCCGTAGGCACTACACTTACAAGATCTGCTCGCCTACGCGCTCCTCCCTCCAATCGGGACGCCTGGCAGTGTCTCGTCAAGGTTCTTTCGCTGCTCAGCTGGTGTCAACAGGATTTCGGTGTTCGAGTGCTCCATGCCTTTCCTTTGAATAGCATGGTCATGTCTGAATTGCTTGGCCAGCCGTCAGGGCATTCCATTCCTTTAAATAGCACAGTCATGTCTCAACAGCATGAGCTCATGTTCAATTGACGCCATTCTGGGCGCACCCCGGCCTCTTCATGGCAGCCATAAGGGGCTCATGTGATCCCGTCATACCTAAGTGCCGGCCATGTGGATGATTAGGCCTCAAGCAAGTACCGATCTGGGATGGGTACAACTGCATCCGGTTCATGCGACTGAGTAACGTTTGCTCGGCACCTCCCCTTTCCAGAGGGGTAGGGGTACTTGACCAGCAGCCCCATGGATGAAACAGTTCCATTTTGCAGGACTCATTGAAGGAACCACACAAATGCCTTGTTTGAATATGAGCACAGGTCACCATTCATGATCATGCACTGCACGGAAGGTGGGCCGACATGCGGCGAAGCCACTCACCAGTTGCAATTGCGAAGTTGGGATTTCTCACCAACGCCTCCTGACCTCTCATCTGCCCCGTTTCAGGCCCTTTTTTTCGGACTCAAAACTGGCATCCAAAAAGGGTCGCCAGAACCGTTGAAGCATCCGTACCCAACAGCATGGTACACTTCACCAATATATGTATATATATATATATAAATCTAGAGATCCCGCGTTTGCGCAGGAATGAGTCCGGTGATCGAGGTGTATTCAGCCGGACTTCGAATGCCTTGCTGAACAAACTCTTTAGGCATGGTCACATACCTGCAACCTCCACAAACTCTAATTGCAGGAGTTGTTCTCCTCTTACTCCCCTGCACATTGGCAAGGGATCCAAGGAGTTTCCCTAAAAGATAATTCCTCTGTTTACATGTAGGAGGCTAGTTTACATTTATCCCCAAAGTTGGCAGGGTTTCGGTTTTGGGTCCCAGATACCCAGGAGTGACGAGTGGTTGGACCTCTTCGACACTCGATCTTGAAAACTAGAGGGGCGAGGCAAGTAGATAACCCGTGTACAGCCCCTGAAGCGAAATCATTGCCCATCATGGGCGATAGAAGGGTATTTGGGACATCGGTGTTCTCACAGGCAATCGGGATCCAAGTGAACTGGGCTGGCCAAACTTGCTACTTGCATGCCAGAAAGCTTGATGAGGAAGCCGAGAGCCCTCTTGCGCTGAGTCGCTCATCCGTAAGCTTCTTCAACCATCATCCGGGGGCTCATCAAGAATTGATATACTGTCAATGGATGAACATGAGCATGTTGTTGTGAACCCCACGAGCTCAACAAATCAATCCAATCAATTTTGGTTGTTTGATTCCCGAGAATCCGAGCAATGAATCGAGCCAGTTTTCTTGATCCACCAAGTTGAAACTAAAAGCCCCTGGCTCATGCGAGGTGCACGTGAATCCAGTGAACTCGGCAGTGACCTCCCGCAATTACGACGACCCGGTGAGCGGATACGCGGGGATCCCTCGCAACATGACAGGCCCGGAGGAGACAAAGCCTTGAGTAGGTTCTGCTCTCGGGCTCGGGTCTCGCTTGCGAATGTGAGGTGCTTCTACCTGGCTCAACAAGATTGTAGTAGTCCCCTTGTCAGCAGAACCAAATCAATGGATTTTGGCCGCTACTCAAATGGCGATGCATTTCAACAAGAAACCACCTCACAAGTGGTTGCCGGACATGAATCTCCACCCAAACAAATGATGTCCACCAATCGGCTCCTAATCAAAATAACCACATTTGTTTGCACCGCCCTATTTTGAGACAAACCCAAGCATAGAGTCACGACACCCACCGCAAGCCAGCCCAAAACCTACCCTAAACCGGCATGACCGACAGTGAGCGCGCATAAGCCACCTTGCCTCAGCCCGAAACCTATCCTTAAGCGACCCCAATCCACCGTGAGCTGACCCTACACCAATTCTATGCTTTGTAAAATGAGTCCTCCCTTGCGGATGTTCAACAGCACAAGCACAGGGTCTCTTGTTGAATTGGCCATTCTGCGGGTTTATGGACTCATGCATGGAACCCCAGAAGGTTAATATGTCACTTAAGGGCCAGCGTCGTGCATTTAATTTGCGGGGAAACCGGGAACCGTGCCCCTCTTGACTGCAAATCGCCTGTACTGGTTGTTGATGTTTTCGGTCATTAGCGGTACGCCAATAGACTGGGACCCGTTGACACAGTCTGCCTGTTCGGGCGAGTACTCAGCTGCTTTTGCGCAATTTATTCAGATCTGGTCGCCGAGGGTTCAGAAGAAAGATGAGTTTGCCTTGTACAAAATATCCACTTTCCTGCCATCAGCCTGCTTTAGCCGCCGATTGCAGTTCAGCGGTTTATATCCTTCGATGCTTTCAAGGTTCCGCCAAGCGCACAACCATACATGATTGGGCTTCGGGTTTTTGTTTTCCTTTTTGTTTCCCCTTCCGATGCGCAAAACAACAGGGGTTCAGGTGTTGGGGAAACCTCCCGCTCTTCTGGGAACTCAGAAAGGACGAGACTGGGTGGTACGCCTTCGGATTTCGTCGCAACTGGCCTTCCTGTATTCGTCGTCTTCCCTTTTTGCGCATGGGAACAACCAAATCCAGCCTCGCATGGCGCAGTCTTTTGAGGCACCGAAAAAGTTTCAGACTGGGGGTCCAAACTGAGGCCTTTGAAAACGCCCATTGGACTGGGGGTCCAAACCTTGGTATATTTTGGGCTAGATATTGGGTACACATGTACTCGGGCCATCGACTCAGACGGGAGGCATCGCGGAGAAGATGAAGTTGGCGGGCTACCAGACCCACATGGTGGGGAAGTGGGACGCCGGCATGGCCACGCCGGAGCATTCCCCCAAGGGCCGAGGCGCGGGAGAAGTGGGGAGGTGGCCGGGAACTCGAAGGCTGGGGTGTGGAGGTTGAAATCCCGGGAAAATCCCGGGAAAAACTCTGGCAAAACCTGGAACCCCCTGGAAGAACCGCCAGAGTTCACAATTTTAGAGGATATTGCCTGGAAGCACCAGCAGATTTGCCGACATTTTTTAGAGGATACTGCTCTTTGCAGAAGGAACCAGGAAAAAAGTCTCCTCACCCAGGATGAACATGTCACTATTGCTCTTTGTGGCTTGTTTTTGATTTGTCTCCAAATGGAGGAAGCCCCTCAGCTGGCCTCCTTCTGCTTGTCCTTTAAACCAACTCGCACCCTTCCGACCGTTGAAGTTCTCGGAACATAGCCGTCACATCTCCACGAACTTGTGCTTTTTGGAGGGGGTCATGCACCACCCAACCCAGGCCTTTTCCGCTGTTCCGCATTTTTCCGGGCCCGTTGCGCTGCTGCTGGGGTGAAGATAGGGCACGTTGTATATTCCATTGGTGACTTGGACATGTGCGTTTCCCGAAGTAAGGGACTCTCTTGAACACATAACTGGGCTTTTGTGTGATGTCCCTTTGGCCAGCATTCACAAAAAGGTCCTTAAGGAAAAAGCTGGCAACCTCGCATGTGTTTGGGAGTCGCCAGGCTGTCGGCGTAGGTGTTCAACCGTTGCAGTCTGTCAAACTTGCTGCTCCTTGTTTTGGACATGTTTCAAGCAAAAGGCTTGTGGCTTAGGGTTTCGGGCCACGATGGATCACTCGCACCCAACTTGCTTGAAGATGGCGTGCAAGAAACTCGGGTGGCAGACAGGTATAGGCAAATCATGCTGGAAGATGGTTCGCCAAAAATAGTCATTTGGCCATCGGCCAGTGCACAACTCCTCTCAGAGGGTGATTAATTCATGTTGCGGTGTTTGCTGAAGCCAACGGCTTTGTGGGGGTGAAATTTGCAATGGTAGCTGATCAGGAGTCGTCGCCATTCGACCATTCGAACTGTCTGGAAGGCAAGTTGCACAGAGAGACGGACAAGATCAAGAACAGCACGAAGTTGTGGGGTGCCTTGTTTTGAGGGTACGCACTATTGATTGGTTTCTTAATAGGAAAACAAAAAGAAACCAAAAAGAAACCAAAAAGAAACCAAAAGGAAACAAGAAGGAAACCAAAAGGACACCAAAAGGAAACCAAAAGGAAACCAACAGGAAACCAAAAGGAAACCAAAATGAAACCAAAAGGAAGTCAAGAGGAAACCAACAGGAAACCAAAAGGAAACGAAAAGGAAACCAAAATGAAACCACAAGGAAGTCAAAAGGAAACCAACAGGAAACCGAAAGGAAACCAAAAGGAAACCAAAAGGACGCCAAAAGGAAACCAAAAGGAAGCCAAAAGGAAGCCAAAAGGAAGCCAAAAGGAAACCAACAGGAAACCAAAAGGAAACCAAAATGAAACCAAAAGGAAACGAAAAGGAAACCAAAATGAAACCACAAGGAAACCAAAAGGAAACGAAAAGGACACCAACAGGAAACCAAAAGGAAACCAAAATGAAACCACAAGGAAGTCAAAAGGAAACCAACAGGAAGCCAAAAGGAAACCAAAAGGAAACCAACAGGAAACCAAAAGGAAACGAAAAGGAAACCAAAAGGAAACCAACAGGAAACCAACAGGAAACCAAAAGAATACCAAAAGGAAGCCAAAAGGAAACCAAAAGGAAGCCAAAAGGAAGCCAAAAGGAAACCAAAAGGAAACCAACAGGAAACCAAAAGGAAACCAAAAGGAAACCAAAGGAAACCAAAAGGAAACCAACAGGAAACCAACAGGAAACCAAAAGGAAGCCAAAAGGAAGCCAAAAGGAAACCAAAAGGAAGCCAAAAGGAACAAAAGGACACCAAAATGAAACCACAAGGAAGTCAAAAGGACACCAACAGGAAACCAAAAGGAAACCAAAAGGAAACCAAAAGGACACCAAAAGGAAACCAACAGGAAACCAACAGGAAACCAAAAGGAAGCCAAAAGGAAGCCAAAAGGAAACCAAAAGGAAGCCAAAAGGAAACCAAAAGGAAACGAAAAGGAAACCAACAGGAAACCAAAAGGAAATGAAACCACAAGGAAGTCAAAAGGAAACCAACAGGAAACCAAAAGGAAACGAAAAGGAAACCAACAGGACACCAAAAGGAAACGAAAAGGAAACGAAAAGGAAACGAAAAGGACACCAAAAGGAAACGAAAAGGAAACCAAAAGGAAACGAAAAGGAAACCAAAAGGAAACCAACAGGAAGCCAACAGGAAGCCAAAAGGAAACCAAAAGGAAGCCAAAAGGAAGCCAAAAGGAAACCAAAAGGAAACCAAAAGGAAGCCAAAAGGAAACCAAAAGGAAACCAAAAGGAAACCAACAGGAAACCAACAGGAAACCAAAAGGAAGCCAAAAGGAAGCCAAAAGGAAACCAAAAGGAAGCCAAAAGGAAACCAAAAGGAAACGAAAATGAAACCAACAGGAAACCAAAAGGAAACCAAAATGAAACCACAAGGAAGTCAAAAGGAAACCAACAGGAAACCAAAAGGAAACGAAAAGGAAACCAACAGGACACCAAAAGGAAACGAAAAGGAAACGAAAAGGAAACGAAAAGGACACCAAAAGGAAACGAAAAGGAAACCAAAAGGAAACCAAAAGGAAACCAAAAGGAAACCAACAGGAAGCCAACAGGAAGCCAAAAAGGAAACCAAAAGGAAGCCAAAAGGAAGCCAAAAGGAAACCAAAAGGAAACCAAAAGGAAGCCAAAAGGAAACCAAAAGGAAACCAAAAGGAAACCAACAGGAAACCAACAGGAAACCAAAAGGAAGCCAAAAGGAAGCCAAAAGGAAACCAAAAGGAAGCCAAAAGGAAACCAAAAGGAAACGAAAAGGAAACCAACAGGAAACCAAAAGGACACCAAAATGAAACCACAAGGAAGTCAAAAGGAAACCAACAGGAAACCAAAAGGAAACGAAAAGGAAACCAACAGGACACCAAAAGGAAACGAAAAGGAAACGAAAAGGAAACGAAAAGGACACCAAAAGGAAACGAAAAGGAAACCAAAAGGAAACGAAAAGGAAACCAAAAGGAATCCAACAGGAAGCCAACAGGAAGCCAAAAGGAAACCAAAAGGAAGCCAAAAGGAAGCCAAAAGGAAACCAAAAGTAAACCAAAAGGAAGCCAAAAGGAAACCAAAAGGAAACCAAAAGGAAACCAAAAGGAAGCCAAAAGGAAACCAACCTTTCTTTTGGGTCCCTACCAAGCCATCCTACAACCAGCGGCCATTTTTGTTTTTGGCACTATTATTCCAAGGATGTTAGGCTCTACCACTCCGTCCACTTGCCCATCCCCTTCGCCTGGGTCCCACATCAACGCTTCAACCTGCGACCTTGCGCTTGAGCTGCGCAGGCTATGACACCTGGTATGGCTACTACCAGCCGCTAAGATGCAAGTAATTGCATGTTGGAGGAGTTTTCTGGCGGGTTGAACTTTTGTGTGTCAGCTTGTTAACAAGAGGAAAGCTCGTTTGAGAATGGTGAGAGATCCGCGGCTTTCTGCGAAAACTCTGAAGCAAGGCACTTGGCGCATGTGCATTTGAGAGTTGACAATGGCTACTCAACAGTTTTGTTTTTGGACCCACCTGTTATTTCCTGCGCTGTTTTTTTTGTGGGCACCTGCGAATTTTTATCATGCTATCCTGTGGCAACGCTTGGACTCCCGAGAGCTCGTTGGTGCTGAGTTGTCCTGCCTCCGGGTCAACTGTTTGGATGTGTTGGTGCGACTGGCGACTTTCTTACACTTAGTCAGAGCCATAGCCACGGAAGCCCTTGCAGCCTCATGGTGCCTATTATTGACTATTTGTTGCGATGGACAATTGAGGGCTATAAACCATCGCTTAATCTAGATGTGGGTGTGTCCAGAGGCATGCCAACGACTACTGGCGCAAGAGCACTGTGTTCCTGGCCACCGGAGAAATCGATGCGTGCCTGAACCGCATGCGCCCTGGCAGATGCGGAGGTCAAGCTGGGAGGTTGGAGAGGTTGCTCGGGTCTTTCGGTGGTTGGTGCCACGTCGGGGGTTTTGGCGCTTGGGTTTTGGGTGATTTTACTGCTTTGAGATTTTGTTGCGGGTTTTTCTGGCTGTTGGATTGTGGACTGAGGCGTAGGAGCAGAGGGTGGGAAGGTTGCTTAGGGAATCGGTTGATTTGTGCGTTGTTTTGTTTTTCCTTCAGTTTTGGCGGTTGTTGGATCCGAACTGAGCTGTTGGAGGAGGGGGGTTGTTGGGTTGCGAACTGATGCGTTGGGGGGGTTTCGGGTAAATGCGCGATTTTGCAGTTGTTGTGTCGGCAAACTGTCGCGTTGGAGGAGGGAGGTTGCTTAGGGTCTTGGGCGATTTGTGCGATTTTGCGCGACTTTGTGATTGTTGGATTGCAAACTGAGGTGTTGGAGTTGCTTAGGGTTTCGGGTGATTATGCGATTCATGAACCTGACCCCAGAACTATACATTTGGATAGCTCTAAGCACGTGTACACCGTTTTGAGAACTCCTTACCCTCCCAAAGACACGGGTCACCATAGCTGAGAGGGGAACTCCGCGGCGGCGGGCCAAGTTTCAGCGAGGTAACGAGGTTCAGCTGAGAGAGGGGAACTTGAATCTGGGCCCAAGGAGCTGATGTTTCCCTGAGGTAAACCCAGCCAGCTTTAAGCCAGGGGACACTTGAGTGACCGTGGCACTTTTCCACCCTTTTCTTACCATCTACCACAAAGAGGTTAAGACCACCAGCCCACCCACCCCTGTTTCGCTCCAGGAAGGATTTCTCCACGCACAGGAGGGCGTGTTTTTTTTTGTGTGTGTATGTGTGTGCGTGTGCTCCATTTTGGGTGTTGGTCAGCGAAACCCCAAGAAGAACAATCCAACATATAGGGTTTGTCTCCGAATTAGGGTGCCCCTAAAACAGGTGTTTCCCTTTGGTTGCCCTTCAAAACTCATCCAAAGGGGGTTGCCTAAGAGAACAGGAGCTTCCCTTCGGTTTTTCTGCAAAACACGCCCAAACAGGGTAGCGGGCCTCAAACAAGGATATCCATGTTGACTCAGTTTGACCGATGCCAAGGAAGGATTGAGGATTTCGGTGGGTGTCTAGGTGTTCCAACCATTAAGATTGAGCCAAGCTGATCCGAAAAAAGACCTGCGGCCGTTTTGGAAGGAATCCCCCAAGAAAAACCTTGCAGGAAATCCCCACGAAACATCTTAGGCCATGGCTTGGAATTTCGGTTGAGCCCAGGAAGGACTTGTCCATGCACAACGCCTCGTACTCGGGCCCGGTCTTGGACCCCGCCTCCTTGTCCGCGGCCTGTCAGGAGGATGAGGAGGCAGATCCCGCCTGCCGCCCGGAGGAAACGAGCTTCCACGAAAACCCCGGGGGGGGGGGGGGGGGTGCAAAAGGTGGCTTTGGGCGGGCCCGACGCCTGGTTTTTGGGGCTTTGGGCCGGGTTGGGCTTGGGCCATAAATTCGTCACGGCGTTCGGCAAAAGGAATCACTCGGCCGAGGCTACGAGGAGTACCTCTTCAAGCAGCGGACGCTTGAGATCATCCGGCCTCTTGGCTTCACTCGCCAGAGTTGCCTGAGTTGCCGAGCTCCCTGGTTTGATCTTTTGCTTCTTGCTTTGGGGGGAGGAGTGGTCCTTTAAATTGGGCACATGAGTGTTAGGAAGGATCCTTCTTGGTTGGAAGTTGTTTGTTGCTTGAAATGTGCACTGGGAAGAAGGCGTGCGTTTCACGGACAAGAGGGGGGACCTTCTCCCAGGGTCCCATTTCCCTTGTCCAAAGGGGTGCTGGATGCACACAGTCGTAGCTGGGAATGAAGGTCTCCAAATGTGTTGCGAGATGATGGGGAATCCAGCATCCTTCTGTCAAGAGGAAGCCTTTTGAACCAATCCCTGGATTGGAAGCATCCCCAAAGCAGGCGGACCTCAGCCCACTGGGCCAAGCGGCCATAGCTCCCAGAGTTCAATATGAATGCGCGCAACTCGCGGCCACGTGTGGTCTCTTCAGCTGAAGGGTCTGAAGGGTTTGGATGTCTGTGGTTCGGAGCAGCTTTCATGGAGGGTGTTAGTGTATTCCGGAGAGTTCTGGAGGGCTGTGGGCTGTAGGGGTTGACACCCTTTGCTTTTTTTGGGATGCACCTGTCGAGTGGGAGACTCAGGTTTTTTGTGGCGGGGCATGCCTTTGCTGGAAGTTGGGGGGCAGTTGCTTAAGATGGGGAAGGGTTCCCCACGGTGCGTGAAGGGTACGTCCCCTCTCATATTTTAGGTCCTTGGCCTCTTACACGCCTCATCCTACGGAATGTGGCCTGGCAGATTGTGCAAAAGTGCCAGCTTAGCAACCAAGCAGGACTACTTGTCCCCAGAGATGAGGCCGGCAATCTCGAGGTGTCTCCAACCTTGCAGAATCCAGCATATGGTGATTTGACTCCACTTTGGTCTGTTATGTGTAGGATATTGCTAGTGTTGTCTTTTGTGGCCTGTTTTGCCTGCTCGGTGTTCTTGTGTGCTTGTGCTGCTTTTGCGATTCTTCATGCTTAGAGTTCAGAACTTTCCCAAGCAATGCATGTCCGAGCAGTCAGTGGGTGAATTGTGACTCGAGCTCAGGAACCACGATGTCTCGAAGACAGAGAATCCTCTTTTCCTCTTCTACTCCTTCCACTTGATCCACACCCCCCTCCAGGCCGATGGATTCAACCAGCTTGTCAAGTGCGGACCAGTGTAGCCCAAACTGCCGAGACTCCTGAGACCAGCACGGGCCAGTTCGGCCACATGTTTGCTGAATTGACGGGTCGCGAGTTGCGACCCGCCTGTCGTGTCTTGCGGGTTTCTCCACCCTCTCAGTCAACCGCTCCGTCAACCCGCTTTTGCTGACGCGAAGAGAAACTTCGCGTCCACCTTTTGTCATGGATGGTCAGCCGGCTCCTCAGAAGTTCACTTTGTTTTCCTGGGGCATTGGTCCATCTCCGCAGGAGTTTGCTGCCAGTTGCAGTCAGCCAGTTTTGCGTCCGAGTTTGAACATGGTGCGTCAGCAATTCGCTGCCATCAGTGCGAGGGAAGAGACTGATGTGACCCTCGACCCTTGCAGTCTCCCGCCAAGTAGCAAGCAGTTGTTTATCACTGCGTGCGGGGGGTCAACGACCACGAAGGTTTGGCAGGCGGACTTTTCCGATTCTCGGCTTGGTCTTGACACTTCCTGCCAGTTCCGGTTTGCCTCAAAGACTGTCCACTGGAAAGTGTCGCCCCAGAGAACCACCCTGGAGCCTTTTGTGATACCTGTTGACTTTCGGGGCCAAAGGCCTTAAAGACAGGGCAGTCAGTAATGTGATTTCCGGGGTCTGAACATGTTGAGGCAGGCCAAAAAACCGCAGCGGCAAATGCACCCATGTGTTTAGCCACCGGAACCAAGAGAGCCCAAAATTTGCCAATCTTGAAAACCCCGCGAGTCCCCGTCAGACCAGAGTCTCGCAGTTCCCATGCCAAAGGTTGTTCCAAGGACACCAAAAGCCGAGTCGGGGCGCTTTTCGCCCCGGCCGTTTCCTCGCCGATTTGTTTTGCCCCGAAAGCATGACGAAGGGTTCTTCCGTTGGATTCATGGGAGTCATTGCAAAGAGTTATCATCATTGCACTGAGTTATCATCATCAGAGTCATTGCACTGAGTCATCATCATCATCAGAGTCATTGCACAGAGTCATAGCAGAGAGTCACTTGCGAGGAGCAATGCTCGTGAGAGTCACTGGCGAGGAGCAATGCTCATGAGAGTCACTTGCGAGGAGCAATGCTCCTGAGAGTCACTGGCGCGGAGCAATGCTCATGAGAGTTCTCACTCATGACGAGTTTTAATTTGCTTTCTTCTCTTCTTAGGGCGGCGGGGTAGGGCCGACAGCACTCTACGAAAATCAACCCTCTGCGGAGATTCGTGTGGTCGAGGTCAAAAACCGGAGGACTTTTTACGATTTCTGATCTGCGCGAGCGACCCTCTGCGGAGATTCGTGTGGTCGAGGTCAAAAGACTGAGGACGTTTTACGATTTGTGCGGTGCGCAAGCGACCCTCTGCGGAGATTCGTGTGGTCGAGGTCAAAAAACAGGACTTTTTGTGCGGTCCGCGAGCGACCCTCTGCGGAGATTCGTGTGGTCGAGGTTTTTAAACTGGACTTTTTACGATTTCTGCCGCGCGCGCGCCCCTGCGGAGATTCGTGTGGTTGAGGTCGAAAAACTGAGTTTTTTTTGCGATTTTGACATTCCAGGACGAACCCTCTGTGGGGATCGGCGTGGTCGATGTGCAAAAACTGAGGGTTTTTCGATTCTGAATATGCTCGCGCGACCTCTGCGAGGATCGTGCGTGTCGAAGCGCTCTCGCTGTGGCGCCGTGCGAATTTGTTGCTTGCGAAGTGGTCTTTGGAAGTTGTCGCGTGGTTTGCGCGGCTGCTCTCGGAGTCGCGCAGTCGCGGGGTCGATCCCCGCCTGGTCCGCGGAAGCTTTTCTAGACAGAAATCGCAACTTTTAAGTGCAAGGGTAGTACGCGGACGCAGCTCCGGCTGGAAAATCGCAACTTTTAAGTACAACTGTAGTACGCGGAGTACAGGCTGCATAATGGAACTTTTCAATCAGAAAACTAGTATGCGAAGTACTTCCCGAAAGCTCCGGCAGCACTTGCGCAGAGCAACTTGCACAGACCAAAAGTCAGGTGGTGTGTTGGGAGAATTATTGTCATGAGAGTCATTGCACAGAGTCATCATGACAGCCATTGCACAGGGTCATCGCACAAGAGTCATTGAACGGAGTCATCGCGAGAGTGATCGCACAGAGTCATCATGAGAGTCATTGCCCAGAATCATCATGAAAGTCCTTGCGCAGAATCATCATGAGAGTCATTGCGCAGAGTCATCATGAAAGTCGTTGCACAGAAGCATCATGAGAGTCATTGCGCAGAGTCATCACAGCCATGGCATAGAGTCATCACACCAGAGTCACTGCACAGAGTCATCGTGACAGCCATTGCATAGAGTCATCACACGCGAGTCATTCAACGGAGTTATCGCGAGAGTCATTGCACCGAATCATCATGAGAGTCATTGCGCAGAGTCATCATGAGAGTCATCGCGCAGAATCGTCATGAGAGTCCTTGCGCAGAGTCATCATGACAGCCATTGCATAGAGTCATCGCACAAGAGTCATTGCGCAGCGTCATCATGACAGCCACTGAGTAGAGTCATCACACAAGAGTCATTGAACGGAGTCATCACGAGAGTCATTGCGCAGAGTCATCATGAGAGTCATTGCACAGAATCATCATGAGAGTCCTTGCACAGAGTCATCATGACAGCCATTGCATAGAGTCATCACACAAGAGCCATTGCGCAGCGTCATCATGACAGCCACTGCGTAGAGTCATCACACAAGAGTCATTGAACGGAGTCATCACGAGAGTCATTGCGCAGAGTCATCATGAGAGTCATTGCACAGAATCATCATGAGAGTCATTGCACAGAGTCATCATGAGAGTCACTTGCGTTGTTGTCACTGTTTTGCTCGAGGGCGGTATATGTGTCATCTTTGACGTGCTTGGCAAACTCGTGTGAGGGGGGTCCGATAGGTCGAGCAAAAAACTTGCGCGGGAATGATTGCCGGGCTGTGATGCTTTCGGGCCAACCGTGGTCTAGTCTTTTTTTCCTTTTTTTCTTCTTTTTTTCGGGGGGGCGTCGCTCATCGGAGAATCGGAGCGAGGGATGGATCGATGGATCGATGGGAGGTGCCCAAGGCCTGGCTGGCGAAACTGGATGGCCTGGTGAAGGCTGCGGGGGGCAAGCCCTTCGATTCCGAGAACCGGCGCTTTGGTGGCGGCCAGTGGCTGTCTGCGGCGTTTGTTTGCTGCGAATGTTCCAAAGCCATGCCGAAGCTCGAGTCCGATGCCAATAGGCAAGGGAAATCACCGTTCAACGACTAAAAGAACAAAGCCCTGGTTAATTAAGTCTTGCCATGGTCGTGTGCCTTTCATTTGGGGAGCGGTGGAGGCTCCTGACAACTCTGCCGAGCAGAGGTCCAAAATTGTTGGAAAGAACCAGACCCTGGTACCTCTCTTAATAAGGAACCCAAAGTTGTTTTCATTGCAAGAAGAAAAAATAAATGTGTGTTACATTGCCTTTTCATCTTTTTGCCCTTTGAATTTTCTCTCCATCTTTGGACTGGTACACCAAGGGGCTCGTCTTCGTCTGGGCTCCGAGGCGCCTCTACGCGGCCATGACTTTGTACATGGACGGCGCCATCGGCGAGGCGGTGGACGCGCTCAAGGAGAAGAAGATGTACGCCCCTCGCCTCAGTTATTTTTCTTCCCCAAGGCGCCCAAAGCGGGTTCAACTCCTGGCCAATTGAGCAGGTCCTGCTGCTTACTTCCTTGATAAAGGACCTTGGCAAAGCCTAGATGAACCTCTATTATCTTAGTGGAACCAGAAGTCAGCGGCTTTCGGGTGCCACTCAAATGGGCATGTGTCAACAAATGGTGACCCCCCAAATTGAGTGGTTTGCCTTTTGGTTCCCTTGAAGCAACCTGAAAAGGGACACCCTGAACAATGCACCGACCAAATGATCCATTATATATATATATATATATATATTTTTTTGGGGGGGGGCCTGTTTATGCAATTCCCATGCAAACGGGGGGCCGGCCTCTCAGATTCCAACAAACCCAGAGATACAAGGGTCCAGGATGCCTCTTTGGGAGTTCACACCAAAGTGCCGCTTTTCTGGCTCCAGAAGCGAGGGCAGCCTTTCTTTTGAGCCCAGGACAACACCCTGATCATCTTCACCTCGGACAACGGAGGGCCCATCTACGAGCCCGGGGCTGCGTCCAACCACCCATTCCGAGGCGTGCGGTCCAGAGGCCCTTCTGTCCACCTGACCCCCAGAGGGTTCCGCTGGATGGACCAAATCCTGCGCCAAGTGGGCGGTTTATCCCGGTATTTTCCTTGCGTTTCATCCATCCCTGGTGCAAGACAAATTGTCCATGTGGCCATGGGTCATAACCTATGCCTCCATTTTGGGGCGGATGAACACCCATGTACCACCAGTTTTGATGTTCACCAGGGGTACCGGGTTTTGACCCACATGTCCCGAAAGGACCTTCTCCTTGTTTTGATACAGATGCTCAGGCAGGCTGCGTTTCTGGAGCGCCCAAGTTGCGAGGCGCCAGTCCCTCCAATGTCCATCTGGCTCTTCCCCGGATTGCCGTTGGTCCACGCCAATGATACGGGCAGTCAGCGAGTTTGCATGTCTGGGAAACACAGCGACCTCACGCGGGCAAACCTACCCCATTGATGTTACAGCTCTTTCTCGGACACCTAGCTGTAAGACAACACTTTCTCCAGTCAGTTTGCCTTTCTGGAACTATGGGTGTCTCTCTTTTTGAAGGCAGCATCTTTTTCGGATGTTCGTTTTCAAGAGAAACAAAACAGGAACCGCCCATTTGGACCATACACCAGTGATAAATACATATCTACATAGCAGCTTCCCCCCTTCCTTTTCTTTGGAGCCTTGAGAAGGTCCAGTGCTTCCAGTTCCCACAGGCCACCAAGCGGGGTTTCCCAGCATTTCAATCAAGCTGGTCAAGTCAGCCAAATAGCCCAGGGGTGTCCCACCATTTCGAAGAAACTCGTCCAGTTCGCCACTCCCTGCCTTTGGCCCATGGGCCACGTTGCCTCCCGACGCTAGGGGGAAAGTACGGGGACTGGGAGGGCGGCACTCGCACCAACGCCTTCGTGTCCGGCGGCTTCGTGCCGCGGGAGAGGCGCGTTTCGGTTGTTCGGCCCTTCGTGTCTTTTTTTTTGGTGTTCCTTCCTTTTTCTTCCCCCCTCCCCCCCCCTCCCCCCGTTTTTTTTCTTCTTCTTCTTCTTTTCTCCGGGGCTTTTGGGGTTTTGGGGGGGATGGACCCGAGGTTCGTTGGCAGTGATTTGTTCGTAGGGGAATCTCCAAAGTGGTTGGTGGACATGACCCCCCACCAAAATGTCCGCCAAACGGCCCACTTAAAATGTCACGCCCATCGGGCCCAAGTCACAAAACACCCTAAAGGAGATAGATGCAACACAGGCCCCAACGTGTCCGCCTTACCGGGCGGGGAGCATTTGCACTTGGGGATCGAACTCCTGTTTCATTTTTTGGAATTGCCCAGTGACCGAAAGCGACCTTGTCGCTGTAGCTGCGTTGAGTGAGCGGGGTAAACAAATTTGCAGCACACAAATCACGCTACAATGTATCCAAATTTCGTGTCTTTTGAATTTTGTTTGAGGTTTTCTAGTCGTGAGTGGCTGCTGCAGATGGCGCAGGCGATGCACCCCTCATCCCCTGTATTTTGATTGGACATCGGTTTCACTTTGGTGGTTTGACAGTTGGACTACAAATAGGGCAACGATGATGTTCCACTTAAATTGTTGGACCAGTTTTTTGTGTGTTTGCGTGTTTGTTTGCTCGTTCGATCGTTTGTTTGTTTGTCCGTTTCCTTGTTCAGCCCACTTTTGAAATCGCAGTCAATGAGAAACCGGGTTGGGGGCAGTGGGTAACATGGCAACAAAATATGCCTGGGCTGTGTTTCCTTTGCGAGGAGCCCTCTTTCAGATACCTAGTCAAATAATGTTTCTTGGTTTAGTCGTGGCGTTGACAACATGAAGACACAAGGGCAAGTCTTCTCTGGCTGAAGCGCCCTGCAGGGCTGTTGTCAAGACTCGAACCACTTGATTGTTTTTTGTGGCACCCAGTTTTTGGGTTGTTTGAACTGGAAACAAAGACCTAATTCTATCCTCAGGCACAGGCAAGACCTTAGGGTGAAAGAGAGGGAGTGCTGGTTGGAAGCTTCATCGGCTTCTGGCTTGCGAGTGCAGAAGGGCGATTTGTTGAGGTTTGCAGCCTTCAGGGCCTGTTTCAGCTGTTTTGCTGTGTGGTTGTTCAGGCCAGTTTGAGAAGGTGGTTTCAGAAGAGCAACGCAGTTGCTTGGTTCCATTCATTTTAAGCGGGGGTTGTCGCAAGACAAAGTCAAAGCTCAACCTAACTGTTGTCAAGTCTCCAAGTCACTTGCGCCACAATCAAAGCTCGGGCAGACGGGTAGTAAGGGACAGGCAGTCCCAGCCAGAACTAGGTGCGCCCCCCTTTCCCCCCCCAGAGCGTGGCGTCGCTATAACTTGCCCACAGGAATGGACTCACCCTTCAAGTCCAGTGAATCGAAGCCTGGTACTAAAGTGGTCTACCCAAAGCCGTGCAAAGATTTCAAAGGGCGTCCGGGTCCGGGTTGCCACGTCACCCACAGTGAAGGTTTCATATTCTAATTTGCCCAGAGATTTCCGGTGGATATGAATCCCCACCCTAAACCCCAAACCCTAAACTCTAAACCCTAAACTACCCCAAGCCCTAAACCCTAAAAGATGTTCACCAAAGGGTCTCTCGGAATGCATACCTCGCCGAAGGCGCGGCTCAGTCTACGAGGGCATCATCAACGTGGCGGACTGGCGCCGCGGACTGCCATGAGATAGGGTCAACGCTTGCCCAGATCCTGGTGGTTTCAAAACATCATTTTTCGCCCATTTGGGTGTGGGTCAAGATAAAAGGACCAACAACTGCAGGTTTTAGTCTTTGGTTCCATTTACCAGGGTTCCATTTTCGGTACGCATTTTTGAGCGACAGCCATTTAAAGCGAGCTTCTCCTGGTAGGGCGATATTTTGAGGAGAGAAAGGGAGCCCTACGTTCCAAGTTGGATTCTCCTTTGGCTGTACGGCGATTTCCCTTGCTTATGTTGGGGTCCAGGTATTTATGTTCCCGACATACCAACGTTTTCTGTGGCCTGCAAGGTTTGATGGGCTTGGCCTTGGTCTTTCACCACCAAATCGTGCCGGGGGGGGGGTGGGCTTGGCCTTGGCCCCATTCAACTTACGGTGGTAGAAAACAAACACCTGGGGCTTCGCGAAGCTCCAAGCCAACCCACACCCCAGCCACTGAACCCTGATTTGCCGCGCCCAAGTCTTGATGAAAAAGGTACCCGTGCGAACCATGGTATCCCTAAAGCTCAAGTTTTGATGAAAAAGGTACCCTACCAGCCCCTTGGTATCTCTAACCCCCAGACTCCAGACTTTGGGCAGAGGATCGCCTCCAGTGCAGGACCCTCATAGGTTTTTTGGCCCAGTTTTGAGTCCCCCAATCGAGGTACGGCACCTTGACGCAGATCGCGGGGGTGGAGATGTTCGACCACCGCGCGGAGGCCGCCAACGCCTTCCTCAAGGAGATCTTCGGCGGCGGAAATGGATCGGTTTTTTTGGGAAGGAACCAGATCTTTTGAGAGGAAAGCAGGGGATTCAGAGGGCTGATTCCCTCCTTCCCCCCAAAAATGAGTCTTGCAAGTTCTGCGAGCGATTTGGGTATGTTTGTTTGGAGTTGATTTGAAGGGAACCAAATGGACAGCGAGTTTGGGGTCCGCCCTACTATTCTGACACATACCCATATACCAAACGATACTTGCGGGAAGGCGGGAAGGCGGAAAACACTTGGGGCCTATCTTCTTGCAGCCAGCTTTTAGGCTGTTGGGGTTGACTGCAAAAAAGTGTCCAGGGCCAAGGAGTCTATCCCCAATTGCCTTCAGCCCCCTGGAGTCGTTGGTTGTGTAGCCAAGGTGCCCAAAGGTCAACCTTTCTGGTTTCCAGGGCCAAAGAGGCAGGTGAGCAAAAGAGCCTTCGTTTTTTGTTGGTCCCATGTTGGCACCTCTCGTTTTTTGAAGGCTTTTGCGAGTTCCAGGGCCATTCCTTTACCTTGGCCCGGCGCGGCCCGTCGCCAAAATTCCGGGCCGGCACGTGGCTGTGAAGAATTTGATCGGTCAGCTTGGGGTTTTACATCCGTTGCATCCGCAGTGTGGCTGTTCAAGCGTGAAAATGTGCGAGCAGCGCACTTGGACGGTTTGTTGTTTCCTCTTGGGCCCCAAACCGGTAACCCTTGAATCTATAGGTTATCAGCCGTAGGCCCCTAGCTCTAAGCAATGGACGGTTCCCTTGTGCCAGTTGATGGATCCAGCATGCCTGTGGATGCTGCCGGAGCTAGCTCCGGCAACGCCACCGGCGGCGGTGTGCGAATGTTCGCATCAAGCGCTAATGCGCAATACAACCGCACCCTGATGAATTCCCTTCAACTGTACAATACCGCAATCTTTGCTTTTGGGAATGATGCAGCCATTAGGTCTGAAGCCGAAGCCCTGCATCAAGCAGCTGTAACGCATTTGCAAGCGGAAAACCGTGAGGAGCTCCGTGCCGCACAGAATCAGCTGCATGCACACTACGCTGAATGTGTGCAAGCCCAGTCGCATAGGATTCGTGAATACGAACAGCGAGTGAGCGATGAGTTCATGCAAGAAGTGAACTTCGCTGAAGCTAGGATAAGCCAAGTGTGTGAGGAAAATGCCCAAGCATTGCATGAAGCGGAAATGGGACGCAAAACAACTGAGTTTAGGCAAGCCATCGAATCCACCCTGGCTGAAGCCCAGCAGCTCCTCCATGAGCAAGCTGCCAAGCATGCCGATGACACAGCCCGTGTCGAGGCTACACACGCCAGAACGGTTGACATGATGGCACACCAAAACGGGCTTCTGCAGGACGAGCTTGATGAGCTGAAGAAGTATCAGAAGCAACACGACCTCCGCGAGGATGGATCGAAGCCCAAAGGGGTAGGTGATACCCGAGAGGATTCACCAGAGTTGATGACCGACGACATGAAGTCAGCTCGGTCCCAAAGGTCAATGTTGGACCCGTTGACCCATCCGTTTCAATATGCAAAGGAAAAGTTGAGGTCGCTTGTTACCTATGACGGTTACGGGGATGAATATACCCCTAGCGTGATTCCAACTGCCGAATGCGAAGCACTGCCCGCAGATGCTCGCGATCCGCAAGGACCAGCTGAAAAGCCATCAGGTAGCAGCCGATCCCCGGTGAAAACAAGTGCACCGGTCCCACCCCTGCAATTCTCTCAGGGGCCAATGTCAACTGACCGCAAGCAGGGTGGTAAGCCTCCCGGCGGTCCGCCACCTGATGATGATGGCGATGGCGATGGTGATGAAGACGAAGGTGATGGCCTTGGGCCTAACCTCGGCCAAGAAGCATTCGCCAAAATGTTGATGAAGTTAGTAAAAGGCCAAACGAACGATGAAAAGCCCAGAACCCGCGAAAGCGAGACGTTGCGATTCAAGGAGATGCCAACTCCTGAAACGTACCGTGAATGGAAAACATCGGTTCGTGAGGATGTCCGCGCCGCATCTGACCGTCCAGACGAGGCTTGGCCTTGGATCATGGAAGTCTGGTCCGATCGCGAGGACAAGAAGAAGCTGTTGGAGGAGCTCGGCGAACCGGGAAAATTCGTGACCCTAGACACGAAGATTCTCGCAGCGCTCACGCGTTCAGCGAAAGGCGATCTGGCTCAGCGAATCCTAACAGCAAAGGAAGAATGTGCCAAGGAGGGAAAGGCCATGAGAGGAAGGCAGGTCTTGTTTATGTTTGACCAATATTTCAAGACCAGTGAAGAAGCCGGAAACCTCTACTCCTTGGAGGACCTGTTGCGTGTCTCGCGACACGGCGAAGGAATCATCGATCTCAAGCGTTTCCTGAATGCTTGGGATTCCGTGATCGCCGGCATGAAAAGGCCGCCGGAAGAAAAGGTGTTGAAAGACATCTTGCTTCGCCAAGTGAGAAGCTGCCATCTGTTGCGGTACGACATCGACACATATGATCGTTGCCGTGACGATGATCCCAATAAATCGTACGATTTCCTAATGCGTTGCATGAGGGATCTAATCGAGAGGGATAGGCTTCGCGAGAACCGAGAGCGCGTGTCCAAGGTCAATGCCAGTAAAGCCCCGACGCCCAAGGCTGGTGCTGCCGCCCCTGAAAAGAGGGACCCCAAGAAAAAGAGCGCACCTAAGCCGAAGGACACCGAGGAGAAGTACTGTTTTGACTTCCAGAAGGGCTCGTGCACGAGGGGGGCAAACTGCCCTTACGCGCACCGCAAGGAGCCGCGAGGACGCTCCGCGACCCGCGGCAGGCCAAGTTCCCCCAAAGGCGGTAAAGGAGAGAAAGCACCGTGTTCTTTCTTTGCCCAAGGGAAGTGCACGAGAGGTGATAAATGCAAGTTTAGCCATGCCTCCACGGGCGGCAAATCTGCCGCCGCGGCATCGAGCAGCGAGGCCAATGCAAATCCTGCGGCTAAGAAGCGTGCAAATTCACCTAAGCCTAAGCCCAAGGCCAAAGCCGCTGCAGTCTGCACCAGGTACGCCATGTTCGCAAAGCCGATCAACCCAATTGGAGTGTCATTCGACACCAATGCTCATGTTCATGAAATCCCCGCCGAAGGCGATGGTTTCAAGCTTGAGTATGAGGAACGTCAGTACAATAGGATGTTTCCAAGTGCCAAGGACTGCCCCAGGCCGACCAAAGGGACTAACAAGGCAGCGCGCAAGGCCGCGAATCAGTTGAATGCCGTAGTCAAAGCCATGGAGAATGGAGCCCAGCCCGCTTGCGGTTTCATGTGCGATGTGGAATCCGATTCCATCTCAAGCCTATCGTGTGATGAGTGCCTGAGAGTTGCCATGCCGCCTCACGATGTTCGCAAGGATGTCGAAGCGCCAAGGGCAGCCACCCCTGCCCCAAAGGGAAAGGACGTGTGGCTCATTGATTCCGGTAGTGAGCAGGGCCTCATCAGCAAAGCTGCACTGAGGAATGCGTCCAAGGCAATCCGAAAACAGGCCCCGCAGCCCATTCGCCTTGTGACTGCAAACGGAAACATCACTGCTTCCGAAATCGCCAACATCAATGTCGATGCATTGTGCGAGCCTGCTCAGCCTTACATCCTCGAGAGTTCTCCCGCAGTGCTGTCGCTGGGTGTGAAGTGTCTGGATCAAGGATATTCCTTTCATTGGGAATCCGGGAAGGCACCAACCATGGTTCGCCCTGACGGTGCTCTGATCCAGCTCAAGGTTGACGGTCATGTGCCATACATGGACTCTAGTTGTGAAGCTGAGCCATCGTTGAGTGCAGTAGCAGCATCAAAGCCAGCGCCCGCGCCAGTTCATGACGAAGGCATCGACGAAGGTGATGATCCCGACGACGAAGTTGAGCGGTTTGTGAGATCCCGTAAAGAGCAAGATCTGGTTGCCGAAGCAGGTACCAAAGAGCACTTGTTTGCACACTATCCGAAGAATCCCTTTTGCCGCACTTGCCAACGTGCCAAGATGCTTGCCCCATATGCAAGATCGAAAGGCGGGCAGGGAAGGCTCGAGACGAAAGCGTTTGGAGATCACATCATTGCTGATCATGTGATTCTCAAGGCCAACATCGAGCAAGGCATAAAAGGTGAATGGTGTGCTCTTGTGATCAAGGATGTGCATACGCAGTTCAGGTACGTTTACCCGTCAACCAGCAAAAGCACGGAGCAATCCGTTGCAGGGATCCAGCATTTCATTTCCGGTAGGGATGAGGTTGAGGTTCTTTACACTGATAACTCCCGGGAATTGAAAGCCGCAATAGAGCAGTTGGGGTACCGTCATCAGACCTCCATTGAATATGTTGATTCTTCCAAATCTTTCGTGGAAAGGGAAATCAGACATCTGTTGGAGGGAGCACGTGCGAACCTTGTCCAGTCAGGGTTCTCACTGTCGATGTGGCCATTTGCCATCCAGCACAATGCAGTTGCGACCAACATCCTGCCACAGTTGAATGGAAATGATTCGCCATGGTACCTCAGGTTTAACAAGAGCTTTGATGAAGCTGAGATACCTTTCGGAGCAAAGATACTGTTCTGGAACAACCCTGCACGAGCTGACAATCAGGCAGGCAAGACTTCGCCAACATCGAATGAAGGCGTGTTTCTCGGGTACCATATTCAGCCTGGGTTCGCATGGAAGGGTGAGTTCCTCGTTGCAAAACTAGAAGGGCTCGATTACCATATCGAACATGCGTCCCTCACGGTACAGCGAACTAAGCGCATTGAGCTTCCGACCGATGAGTTCATCTTCCCGATGAGGTTGTTGAAAGACCCTGCATCTCATCCACCTGTTGCCAATGCTAGGATACGAGATGATCCTGTGCCGTTGGAACGTGGACAAGCCCACATCGAGGAACCCGCCGCATCGGAGAAATCCGAAGCGAAGACCAAGCCTGTCGTGCCCGACAAAGGCGGCGCATTCGACCCGAGCATAATGCCTGATGGGTCACCAGTACCTGATGGCTATGTGTGGGATGGGGTTCGGCTCG